AACCCAAAGAGTCAAATTTGCTCACGAAAAAATACTAGCAGAGGTTAGTATTACTTCAAATGACTTTAGGTTCCTGGGACCAGTTATTAATACTACAATCAAATCAAATCTTAACTAAATGATTTCATGTGTCAGAGGACTATTTCCCTTTGGCGACTTTTACACATGGTACGTCCAACTGGTACATAAAAAAAAAAAAGAAAAAGAAAAATCCAGGAAGGAGAAAAGCCCATGAGGCAGAGGGAGATTCTCATCTTCAGTAAAATCAGATGATGTCTCCCTCTCTCCCTCCCTCTCTCCCTCCTTCCCTCCCTCCATCTTTTGCATCTCCAGCTTTCTCCTCTGTCTCTCTCTCTCCCTCTCTCTCTCCCTCCTACCTTTATTCTTTATTCTCTCACCACCTCCCACTCTCTCTCTCTCTCTCTCTCCTACTTTCTCCCCTCCCTCCCCTGCTCTCTCCTCCTCTGTTCCTCCCATACTGACTCTCTCTTGGCTTTTCACTCTTTCGTATTATCGCTCTTTCTTTTCTCCACCTCCGTCATCCTCTCTCTGTCACAGTGGGAGAGCTGCAGGCAGACAGGAGCAGCACACACTAATGTTACTATATTTGACAAGACACACACACACACACACACACACACATTCTCCTGCCACATGCACGGCTGCACACACACACACACACACACACACTGGAAAGACAGCACTCAAGTGTACATGCATGGACAGACACACACACTCCGACGCGTGCTGAGTGCAGGAATCACAAACATAGCGACACACAGAAGGGTTGGCGCGTGACGCCAGCAACCTAACGCTCTCTCTCTCCCTCTCTCTCTCTCCCTTTCCCTCTCTGCCTGACACACACACACAGACACACAGACACACACGCTCACGCCTCTCAGACACTCACAAGCCAGGGAGCAGGAAGCCACTGGACGTATCATTCATACAGAGAATAGATCCGAAGGAAAGGATTAACAGTCTCCATCCTCTCCTACTAAGGACCTTATCCTCTCTTTCCTGCTCCTCTGTCTCTAAGCCTCTCTTCCCCTCATTTTTCACCCCCCCCCACAACACAATCCCTTCTTTTCCACAATTCATTGGCGGGTCGCAGGGAAGCTGGAGGGATTGTTTCTATACTGAAGGCAGGATTATTCTTTCATTATTCCTCAGACTGGGATCTTGAAAACGTATGGATTTCTTTCTTCACTTGACGGAGACAGTTTCAGTTCAAGATTCTCTCTGGCGGTGAAAAGATTTTTTTTCTTCTTCATTTATTTGCACATATTTTGGGATATGGCTGAGGCTGCTGCTGCCTGAGATATCTGGTCAAAAGGTAAGTCTGTTTGTGGTGGGAGTTTGCCTCACACACACACACACACACACACACACACTTTACTGTAACTGCTCCCCATCCTTTCAGCCGTACAGTCACAGCAGATGAAGACAGAGACAAACAGGTAGAATGTTGTGAAGGGCGTCATGCTCGTGCTGCCAGGGTTGAAATGACTTACAAATTCAGACTCCAACCTGTTTCTGCCATTCACACGTCACACACACAACATGGGCATTCATGTTTTTTTTTGGGTTTTTTTTCCAGGCTGTGGTTTAGAGGCGACGCACAGCGAGGTTGGCAGTTAGAGGGTGAAATTAGTGTTAATTCACACTGACAGCCATATTCCACAAGAGGAAGTATAAAAAAGTTAAAAAATATATATGCAGATTGATTTTTTTTTGCACTGTATAAATATCTGTGTTATTATTTTTATTATTATTATTTGTGGGTTTTTTTACAACTTAACTTAATGAATTCAGATAAAGTATTTATTTATTTTAGTTTAAACGTTAGATAATATTCAGCCTGGATCGTGACGTTGTCTTTGTCCGCAGTTACAGTTTGGTTGGCTGGATGAATAGGCAAAATAGATAGAAACTGATCTGTGATCATTTATTTTGCATTGCAAATGCATGGCCAAGAGGGGTCTTTGAAGGCACGGGTGTTATGTGACCGACATGTCCACATTTGGACTCCACACTTGCACCTCACCGTGCTACTGTATGTGAGTCTGCGGGGGTCAGTAACTAACTAAGTAACTATAACTGAGGCGTACGAGCTGGAGCAGGTGTAACGATCGAAACGTTTTCTGCCGTTGAATTTGTTTTATAAAATAAAAAGCGACAGTTTGATTTGACCCAGACTCTCTTTAACTCTGTGGACAGATGTGTATAAACAACTTCTAATAAAGTTCTGATAAATTCATTCCCAAATGGAGCGTCTCAGCTGTGTCATTTCACACCATCTAAGTCTAATTAGTTTAACGACTCCGGCAGCTTTAGTTCTTCGTACATAGGTTTTAAAAAGGCGTAAAATAAAAATAATTAACTATTACAGGATTTACACAAAATGTGATGAAAAGCATGATTTGTCTCCAGAATCACTCCTTAAGGACTGAAAAAATGAAATCTAATATAACACAGTGTAAATGTCTTGGGTATAAAATATGAACCTGATGACAGACCAGTCAGAGTCAGCCGTTAGCTACAACAAGAATAAACAATCATATCGGTTCCATGGTACTTTCCCTGATGTACTGATTTAGTCAACATTGGTACCGATCTCAATATCAGACTGGTCCCTCGCTGCATCACTAACCATAAATTCCATCCCTAAAGATAAATAAAAAATATATTATACATATATTAGAATATATATTGACTATATATTTATAGTATTTATTTTGTATCAATATTTGGTAAAAACAAGTTTAGGTTAAAAATTTCTGTTTTATTCTATTTATTTCTATTTAAAAAAAAAAACATTCTGCATGCTCTACCTTAGAAACATTACAGCACGATGCCAAACAAAAGAAAGTGTAAACACTGGCTGCTCCAGTGGTCGGTGCCTCCTGTCCACTGGTAACACGGATAAGACGCAGCTGTCATGGAAATGAACATGGAATCATTTCCACCACGTGACACACGGACGTGTCTTTTGTTGCACGGATGTACATAAACACCTCGCACCATACAAACGCAATTTGGTGCATTTAAAGTGACTCAAACCGAAGAAAGTCCATAACTGACTTTTTCTTAGTATTTCTTAGTAAGTATTTCGGAGAAAAAAAACAACAAAATAAATCTGAAAATGATGACTTTGTTCTGCCCTCCATGTACGTAGCCATAGTCTCTGTGTTTGCTGCTGCATTATGTGTTTGTGTAAACATAACCATTCAAGTGTGTGTGTGTGTGTGTGTTTATTTAAAGTAGGTGTCTGCACACTCACATGCATGCGTAATCGTACACCTAAGTATTTCTTTGCACCCCGTGCTTGTCAACAGACATGAGTATCGATCTGTTGGCAAAGTATTACCACGTGTTTAGGGGTGTTTTGTGTATTTATGCCTATGTGTTAATATGTGTGTGTGTGTACACTGCCCCCCCCCTTCTCCTGTGTAAGAAACCTATTAATAATTGATCCGGGGAGCCTGACCGCCTCTCTGCCATTGTCAGACTCATTCAAACAGGACAGTGGTTCTAACCTGGCTGTGCTCTAACTATGACCCTCGCGCTGCTTCTCTTACTCTTCCACCCTCCAAGAATCAGACGTCGATGTTGTGGCTCTAAAACAACTCCCACCCAGCACAACACAACACAACTCAGCGCTAATTGAGGCCGTATTGATTAAAAGCTATTAGTGGAGTCAGGTAGGCCTGTCACTGAGACGATGAAACATGATGAGAACCAGTCTGAGTGAGCAACACGTGTGTCATTTCACACACAGCCACACACAAACCTGTGCTGGGTACAAGAGGATTACAGCCACTCAGCCAAAGTGTTGATGTTTCTCTCCAACACATTTTCTGTTGTACTCATACAGTTTTGTAATTAAATATTCCAGCTGTTGGTTTCATGTGTCGCACCTTCAGTATCTCCCAATAGTCCCATTTTTCTGTTGACTTTGGTGCAGGGCAAAAAATATTGTGCAGCGATCTGAACTGGAAATGGCTTTGCCACATCCCCAAAACCCAAATCTGTCAAGAATGAAGGAAAGGCTCACTGGACCGTGCTGCTTTGCTTTTCTATGAAGGCAGGTGGAAAGCTGAAATAACCGCAGGTTGCTGCTCACAGTGGGTGGTCTCATACGTTGAGCCTTCAGGTGTGTGGTTCAAAATGATTTTGTTTTTTTTTTGCACATTGGCAATAAAGCCTCTCTTACGCCCTGTTGAGTTTCAGCCCAGTTTAAAGTGCCGACCGGAAACAATTAGAGGGAGAAACACGGAACGATATAAATAGGGATGGACAGATGAGGTAGGTGTTATTTGAGTCCCTGAGATGCAAGGCCCCTTGTACACTGAAGCACTGGCACGTGTGTGCATGACGGTTGCATGTGTGGACTGTGGCCAGGCCCCCCCACGTCCAGGTCAAATTGGTAAAAAAAGCTTTCTGAAAATAGTTTGACGGGAGGCCTTCCACCAGCGCAGCAGCCGTTTAACAGGATGAAGACTGATGGTTGAACAGTAATGTGTGGCTGCAGAGGTGACCTTCTGCTTCAACTCCTATTCATCATTTAAAGGAAAAAACGCAGCATGACTGCTACATAATATACCACCGAAAAAATACCATTAGCGGAGTCATAAGTTATATTTTGTCGTAGAGCCTGTGGTCTTTCTGGAGCTCATTCCTTTGGGAGTAAAATATTTTTCAATTTAGTTTATACAATTTCAAAAAGATACGGTTTTTTTTCACCCTCTGGCTGGGTTTGCGACTTATATTCAGGTGCAACTTATATATTAAAATATATATTTTGACATGTTTGTTATTTTCACACTGACAGCTGCTAGAGGGCACTCTAGGCTAGTGCACGAGTATCTGTTACTCCTATACTACTGAAAAAGTACATGTTCGTTATTTTCACACTGACAGCCACTAGAGGGCACTGGTTAAACTCGGAGCAACTTATATCTGTTTTTTTCTTCTTCATTGTGTATTTTTTGGCTGGTGCGTCTTATACTCTGGGGCGACTCATAGTCTGGAAAATACAATAATTAAACAACTATAATTTTTAATTTGGTAATGGTAATGGTCTGATTTGTGGTTAGCCAAAAGGACAGGTTTTTCCTACACTTCTACTTCAACTTCCTGTTTTAATTCAAGCAAAGTGAACCTGATGCTGACAATCGCTGCTGTTCCTGGGAAATTCCTGGGAAAGGTACAATTCCAAAATAGCACCTTGAGATACATGAACTGCAGTTCTGCCATGCTGTGATAAATAAAGAACGGTTACTAATTTTACAACTTGATTTTTTGGCACATCCAGAGTCTGCGTTAGATCCTCCATTCTTCACCACTTTACAGTATTTCATTTGTTGAGATTTGCAGTTATGCATCTCCTCTTCAGTTAAATAATACAACAAACAAAACAACCAACCAGCTAGACATGGGATTAATAACAACCACGGGTGACTAACCAATGAGCAGCTTCCACTCTCTGATAGTTTCATTATTAAGCAGAAGTCACATCTGTCCAAAGAGTTTTCATTTCTTAAGAAATCCACTTTTCCAGCCAAACATTCCCTCTCCTCCAGATACTCCAGAAACACTGGATAATGAATCACACGTATGCTATGCTACAAAATGCCTCACATTTCATTGAAAAAAGAAAAAAGAAAAATCACCAATTAGACTGTTTGACCACACTTAGGCTCTAAATACACAATTCTAACGCATACTAATGCCATACTATTGCAGTGCATATAGACACACTCCTGGAGTCCTTTTCTGTTAATCTGCCTACTTGCTCATTTCAAGAGAAGAAGTAAAATTTCCCAGGAGCCCGGCTAATGTGACTTTAATCACATGCAGAAAATCCCTTGGCTGAATATCCTCTCCTCAGCGTACGCCTCTGTTCTCTTTGTCGCCAAAGACAGGGACGGCAGACAAAGAGGAGAGAGTGACACGTTGAATATTGAAAGAAGAAGGTCAAAGAGACGGAGTCAAAGCAAAAGACAGCCTGAAAGAGAGTTAAAAGGAAGGAGAAAAGAAAAGCCGGGGAAAAACCTGCAAATGAACAGAAAAGAGCTGAAGGAGCTCAGAGATTAGACAAGTGTTTTATATTTGTCTCAGTGTCTGGCAGGTACTAATAGCAATGATGATAACATAAATAGCACCAGCGGGACGCACGACAACTGTCGCACACACACAACAACAACAACACACACACATGCACCAAAACACCAGGGAGTGTGGAGGAGAATTTTAATGCCCTCTCTGTTTACCCACTGCACTTGTTTTTACCCCTTTAGGCACTTCCTGCCACACCTCCGTTTCCCTCCTCAGCCGTAACCTAAATATATAGCGTCTTTATACAGACATCAGTCAAACTGTCCATTTTCCTGCCACTGCACTGGAGGATAGATGTGGCAACTTCAGCATCTACTATGAAATTATGAAGGCGAATTTACATAATTACTGCACACACACACACACACACACACACAGTAACTGACGACTAGCTTGTGTGCCTAATGAGCTAGGCAGAAATATGTGTGTTAAGGGCCATATCTCTGATGACTGTTTTTAACTACTTTCTCAGAGCAGCTTTAAAGCACTGTGATAGACTGTGTGAAGGAAACAGATGGGCTGTGGCAGCAAAGAAAATTCTGGAAAAGTGAGGTAAATTAGCTCGTCTGTAATTGGACGGCGCTGCCTTTGATGTAATACATTGTTACAGTATTGATATGTTCATTGTTGTTGTTACGTTTAAGATTCTTTTTAAAAAAATATGGTTTCCTGCTAGCTTTTAATGCTAACATTGGTTAGCCTAATCACAACCAACAACTTATCGTGGACGAAAGGATAGAAAAAACTTTGATGATACCTTAGAAAAAAAAAGTGAGCCTGGTTTAAATAGCAACTGAGCTCAGTTGGTTAGTTAGCTAACTTAGCTAACTAAGTTAGCAGGTTTATGAACTCAAGTGGGCTAGTTCACCAAAACAAGTAATTTACCTGCGTAAGCCAACTAGCATTGATTGTAAGAAATTAAACTGATAACAAAAAAACAACAAATAAATTACAAACAACAAACAACTCGACAACATCATAGAAATGGGAGTCTATGTAAGCAGAGGTCTTCCCTGTTTTATGTGATTTTGTTTTTCTTTTGAGTCTCTGTCCAGACAAATTTCCTGGCCCTCCGAAAAACATAGTTGTGACCCCTGAACTGGAAGGTTTCCTCAGAGTCAGAAAGTGTGGTAAAAAAGTAAAGATGTTCTCTAAGACATTTGAATTTCATGAACTTGACGTTCAGTCGAGGAGCCTTTCCTGTTAGTGTTTCCTCGGTGAACGAGCATAAGGTCAGCTGTTGCTATGTTACCTGTAGATGTTCGGCAGATTCAGCGGGAATGTGAGGCAGGCTCTGCTGCTTTCTGACACGTTCTGCCTGGTACAAGGCTAATACTGCAGCAGTGCACATAAATATAACACTAACTTTTTCCTGTTATTCGTTTCTTGATTCTCAGTCTGCGGTCACCCTTTTCTCCTCAGTCTTATTTCTTTTTATTTCCACTTGTCCTGCTCTGTCTTTGTGTCGTTTTCTCTCTCTCTCTCTCTATCTGTGGGAAAAGAAAACCAACTGTGTGAACTGCCAAACCTCTACCCATGTAACAGTTAAGTCTGTAAAATACCAGAGACGTCCGTCTGATCACACGTCTTCTCTCTCCTCAGGTCTTCTGCTCACCTTTACCTCCTGCCACCCTAGTGGAGGCTGCAGACATGGCGGTTTGATGCCAAACTCTCCTCCTCCCCTCTAACAGAGGCAGGCTACAAAGCTCTGTGTCATGCCCCCCCACACCCTCCCTCCTGGGGGCCGTGGCCTGCCCCTGCCCACAGCTGCCACCCACTTGGCCAGATCTGGTGAGTCAACAAAGCCAAAAGAAATGATTGGGAAAGTTAACAGAAACTGAAGAGACGGAGAAGATGAGACGGAGGAATATGCCGCCCTCTCAACTGCTTTCTCTTCCCATCCATTGTAATCCTAACTAGGCATGAAAGGAAGAAAACTGTCTGTGTTGACAGCTGCTAATGTCAGCATGATCGGCGTGCTTCAACACACGCGCAGCCACACACACACACACACACCCATACACACGCACGCTGTACAAAGGCACAAAACAAGGGCAGTGATCCTGCTGCGGCCTCAAGCCTCCGACATGCCACATTACTGCATGTGTCAAAACAACAGGTAGAAAATATTACATGGAAGACATGCCTGTTACTGCCAACCTCGTTACGTAACTGCATTTAATGATTTTGTAATAAAGGCATTTTAAAGAAAGTAAAAATATCTCAAAAAACAGGTTGACTTATGGACAAGAGAATAAGGACATTGTTGACCGCGCTGTCCTAGGAAAAAGTAAGATTAGATTGCAGCAACCTGTCAGCTGCCAAAGTCCCTTAGTTGACTTGTTTCCTGACTGACTATACAACCAAACTACACTGAATTGTATATAAAAACAACCAATACACTAATATTTCAAATGTTCTAAAAGAAAATTAATTTACAAATCAGTGCTAAAAAACATTTACTCACTAAAACAACGACAAATAAATTATCAAAATTAAAACCAATCAATGTCAATTTTGATATTTTGCTCAATCAATTGCGTTATTGCACCCGACCGACCACAACCCACCCTCCCCCAAAATGGCTCCGCGCCCCCCACTTTGAGTATCCCTTGTACATATTTGACATTTCTTTCTCTGCTCCTACTGTATCACCTTCTCTTTTCCTCCGTCCGTCTCTGTCTCAGTGACACGGTACAATTTTAACTGCTGTACTTACAGCAGTTTCCCTTGAACTTTGCTCATTTTATCGCCATAAATAAAGCAGTTAAACTGGGCCCCGCGCAGCCGTGCTTCATTACTGCAGGTGTTTTCTCCGTTTCTCCTCTTTGCCTCATCGCCGTCTCTCTGTATCTCTCTCACAAAGCTCTAATCCCCGCTGTGATGCTTGTGCGCGTGTCTTAAAAGACACAACAACGCAGTCAGAGTGACGAGGAGGAGACGCAGCCCTGTATTAGGAACCAGGAAAAAAATCATCTTCAAATAATTTGATACGGTTGTTTAAAATATGCAATATTTGGATTCAGTGTAAAATTTATGTCATTTATGTCAGGAAACTGACAGCTGCAGTCATGGCAGCCGCAGGCAGGTCTGTGTGAGACCGTGGAGAGTCTACTGAAGTTAGTTTCCAAATTGTCATTATTTTTAAAAATAGAAATGTCCTTTTTTTACCATTAACTTCATGTTTTCATTTATTAAAGAGTGCATAAATACTAGAAGAGCACAAAAAGAAACTGAATGAATTCCCAGTTGACTGACAGTAGGAGATAGGAGGGAGAAAAAGAAGGAAGAGGAAGAAGAGGAAGAAGAAGAAGAAGAAGAAGAAGAGAGAGAGAGAGAGAGAGAGAGAGAGAGAGGGAGGCGTCTGTGAACGACACAAAGACCATATGGTGCCTCTGAGATGGCAGCAGACTGTCTAATGTCACAAAACATCCAGACACACAAACAACCACCAATTCATTCCTATACACACACACACACACACACACGGCGTGTGTTTTTGCAGCACTCCAAAGCAAAGCTGGCAGATTAACTGACCACATAGCTTCTAATCGAATGAGTGACAGGGAGAGCGACCGACAGAGAGGCAGCGATTTGGCTTTGAAGACAGGCCTAATGCTCCCACAGAGGTTAGAACCTTTGGTTTGGACTGGAGCCACGGCACAGGGACTAAGGTCGGCTGGAGGCGCAGGAATAACAGTGTGCAGTGGAGGGAGGTTGTTGACCGGTTGTTGACCGGTCAGTGTTTTTTATTTTGAAGAGTCTTTAAAGAAGCTTTTAAAGACATTGGCTGCTATCAGAGCAGATTCATCGCTGAGTGAATGACCTGGGACTTTGACTTGAAGCCAAGGCACTGTAACACAGTGTGTGTTAATGAGGAGCTTTAGGACAGGAGTGGAACATGAACAAGTAACGGTGCAGAACGAATATCCAAACATTTTTTTGGTTCTTTCATTAAATGTCTACTTCGATTAACATAAAAAACCAACATTTTTTAAATATAATTGTATGATGCTGCAACGTAAAGTAACACTGTTTTAAACCCAAAACAAATTTACATATGTAGCACCACGCTGTTAAATTTAAATTTAGTCACTATTCCTTTTTAAACCCAAAACAAATTTACATATGTACCTGTTAAATTTAAATTTAGTCACTAATCCTATCTGTCCATATTTTAGTCATATTTTCCCACTGTCGACATGAGACTAATCTACAGAGGCATAAAATACCATCATCTGACCTCTAGAGGTCAGAGAAGCTCTGACCCTTGACCTCATCTGCCTGTTGTCAGCTTGGCTGTATGTGTGCACGATTGGAATGATGGAGAGCGAGGCTGGAGCAGAGGTCACCTTGGACCAGAACCAACAGCAACACAGTGCAAACACAATAAGCCAGCCAGTTATTTTCCCTTGTTTGTTTTTTTTTATTATAATTAGTTATTCAATTTTTACAAAAATAAAGGGCTGGCCCAGTTTTGAAAGACAATGTGGAGGACACATTTGACAAATCATTAACACCTGCGGAGGAGCACAGTGTCAGTGTCACTGATACAACGTTACACTCACAGCAGGTTCAGTTTGGGTTCAGAGACATGATTAGACAAAAACAAGCCTTGATGTTCAGGAGATTCTCAGAAATGTACTGTGTGAAAAGCACGACGAGGAGGTCGGAGAAGTGCTCCATCTGCCGTCATCGTTACTCACGCCTATTTAAATACTAAATGTGGAGCTTTATCGTGAAGAACAGATGGGAGGAAAATTTATCTATCTATCTATCTATCTATCTATCTATCCATCCATCCATCCATCCATCCATCCAGCCACTGTCCGTCACACACTATTGTGTGTACTTGTAGTTCCAGTCAGTACCACCAGTCTGTCCATCCCTACAGGGGAATGAGTGGGTACATGCGTATGAGGACATGTCAAGAATTCAGCAGAGAATCCACTTAATTTCTGTCACATTGACATCCTCCCAACATCTGCACTGAAGTGTCCTTCAGCTTTTCTGCTGACACACTGATTGTTCACAGACGGATGAGACCCTCAGACCGAGTGCAGTCGTCACGGACGCTGCAGTCTTTCACTGAGATCTGCAGCCATTGGCTGTTGGTGAAGCCAGCTAATGAACGACGCCTTTATCAATCCATTATCCTGTCACTCTGCTAATTAGGAGTACAACACACACACACACACACAGAGGAAAATACACACTTGTGAAATATACCATTGCATGAAGAACTTTATGTCGGAACAACAGCTGGGAATGAAAGAGGCCAATCATCCTACACGTTTCAAGGCTCCCTGTTCAAGTCATAACAACGGTTTTATCATAATCATGCGGAATTCACGAGTTGTAGATAAAGGAGGCAGAGACTGAGAGTTAGAGTAGGTGGAAGAGAAGAAAAAAAAAAAAAAACCAGGGCTGCAGGCAGCAGCTCCCAGATCTGAGCCGCTCCTCACACACGTTGGTGCCTTTCAATTTCCAATTTTCATTATTAAGCTCATGAAAAAATAAGCATTTTCTAACCTAAGAAGAAAACAGTATAAACAGTAAACAGTCATTTTGTAACAGAAATGATAAGCATTTTCTAGCCTAAGAAGAAAACAGTATAAACATTAAAAAACAAAACAAGATTTGTCATACCTTCCGCCCTACCTGTACATATGGGTTAACAAGATTTGTCATACCTTCCGCCCTAGGATACCTTCACAAGGGTTCGTAAAGGGTTAATATACATGTCATATTTACCATTTGACATAATGTGACATTTCACCTTAAACTGGCTCAACAAATCTAAAATTAAGAAATTTCCTTCTGGATTTTGGGCCAAATTTTAATTTAAGGAAAAAGTGAAGCGTTTAAGAAATAATCAGATGAATTTTAATGGACCAGCCATCGACAGCTTTGTCTTTTATTCATCATCTCTTAGTTAGCTGACCCTGAGGCCACGTTGACTCTTTCAATCAAGTCGTCCTCCTGTCATCACATGGTCAACAACAAAAAACCCTCCACACACAGAGAGCCGTGCTCCTCAACTGAACATGTGCATCACTGTGTTCTTCCTGTGAGTGACTGCAGGGATTAAACATCGTGGTGCAGTCAGACAGAAAGAGCTGCTCCGAGTGACAGGGAAGAGATAATCTGGTTAAAGGATGAAGTTTTTGAGAAGCAAAAAATATCCTCCTCGTTCAGTTCTCCCTCACGTCCTCCCGACATCATCTACATCACTTGGTTGCTACAGCAACACGGGATTACACGGCGATACCGCTGGGATGTTACACGGCCGCTGAATGGAGCTTTTATCACTTTCTTATAGTAAAATAGTGAAGCACAGTAAACTAAGGCAGTGAATACACACCTCACACACACACCCCACACACACACACACACTCACTGGGAGGCTATTTTCCATACGCGTTCCATGTAAGGTCTCAGGTTACAGTGACATGTAACTGCCACTGACGAATAACACAAACTGTATCATCGCTTCAGTTAAACCCCACTCCAACTATTACTATATTAATACTGCACCATGCAAATAATGAGACGCTATGTGTTGTTCATATTACCGAAACCCAATTCCCACAATGCAAAGTAAAACCTGTTAGAGTAACTTCGTCGGAAAAATGGAAATCGGAATAGATCAGAATTCACAAAACAATAATCTAAACAACTACAGCAAAATAATAAACTCTATATTAAACCAAATATAAAGAGTAATAAGCCATGTAGATGTTGAGGTACTATAAAGTTATTTTATTTAACTATTAAAAAAAAATCTAAGGAATTTCATATTGTCAGTATTCTGAATCAGGTCCAAGTCCTGTCAGTTTGAGAGTCTGGCCTCAGACGCAGATCTGGGTCGGATGCTTCCACCGAGCACCGACTAAAACATTAAAGCGTGAAGACAAACAGTCACAGGGCGAGTGAGTCTGCTGTGCGGAGGACAGCTGGTCATTCTAGTAACAAGATAGCACCTAGTCTGCTGCTTCTCGGAAAACAGCTTGGCCCCTGGTAACATCAACTGCTCTCAGTAACAGTGTCTGTGGTGATGGCATCACTGTTGGGTCCAGTGTCACCACGGCCTCATGCATGTGAACCTGCAGGCGGCCGAGGCCCCTGGGTTGTTGTAATGGGCTCCCAGACGTCTATGGTCTGACCCAATGTGAGATTAAGAGTCTCATGCTCTACGGACTCTGCTAGCCTGGCCTAAGAATTAAGAATTATAAGAAGTATATGTTACCTACAAGTCTTAAACCAATTGAAAAGATATTTTTTTCCCCCAAATTGACAGCACTTTAACTTTTACAGCATGTGCTCCTGGAGGTTGAGCCTGAATTCAATTTAACAGGAGCTCTTCATGGATTTCAGATTGAACTTTCTTCCACTTTTTGGCGGTGAGGGATAAAAGAATGAAAAAAAGGAATAAAAAACTGAAAGAAGATTAGCTTCAAAATTGATAAATATTAACATTTAGAGGGATTTAGAAGTCAGGGAACTGTTGGTGATGAAGAATGTGAAAAGAGAGCCAGTGGTGTGGAGAAACAGCTGAGGTAAAAACTCCTCCCTTCAGGTTGTGTAACCTTCACTCCTCACAAATATCTCGCTTTCTTGCTGTACCTTTCCAGAGCCGTTATGGACGATTTCTCAGCCAGGTTGCAGCAGGATCGTCCTACACTTCTATTGAGCTGCTGCAGAAAAACGTGCTTTTGTGCACAACAAAGTGGGACTGCACCACATTTTTATTTCTCCCTAAAGCGTAGATGCAGACTGTTAACAATGAATGCAATGAATGACAGAAGAAAAGATACATAAAAAGGGGAGGTAGTTTTTTTGTCACGGCACAAACAAAAACCTCATGTAATAAAATAAAATAATATTCTAGTTTAAATTAAAAATGTATTCCTGTTTAGTTGAAGACAACAGGAATTGAAGAAAGACACTCACAAAGATTTTCTTCAACAGTTCTGATTATCTTTTCTTAGTCTATCTGCTGTCACCTAGTGGAAGAGGATTTCATTGCCCAACAGTTCTGATTATCTTTTCTTAGTTATTTTAATAACCATCTGCTGTCACCTACTGGAAGAGGATTTCATTGCTCTGCCTGACACACATTGACAAACAAACAAAAAAAAAATTGCAATGAACAAATAATATTTTGGGACCAATTAAATGACATTGGGTAATTTTTCACGGCACACCTAATGATCTCTGTGTGTATCCTCCAAAGCCAACACAGAGGACTAACCAGAGGTTGCTCACTCTAACAGTCATCTACAGTTCTGTGTTTATATTGTGGCCCATCTTTGAGGCTGAGCAACTCATCGTTGCCGCTGCTCTGAAGGCTCTTTGTGTTCACACTTCCATATTGATTTTTTTAACCTTGCATCTCAAGTGAGAGATGTTTTAACACTGCACAGCGAGAAAATCACAGAAGTGCAAATTAATATCGTTACTGTGACTTTAACGGCCTGGAGATACATTTATAAAACATGTTGAAACAAGTGTTAAGACAAGAATAAATGGCACTGCATCAAAATCGATAACTGGGCAAATTATTCCGCCTTTCTCTGTGTCTTGCAAAATAAAAACAAACCAGCCACCACCTCACTTGGAGGATTTCTAGTTATATATTTTTAACCTAAACGTCCACAGCTTATGTCACAACAAAACAAATGACTTAGACTGGATGGCTGCTCCCTCGGCAGCGTTCCCTAATCACTTGTAGAATGTCAACAACGTTCTTCATTCACAGCAAATAATCAATAATTACTCATGTCGAGGAAGTGTCGATGCCCTTGCCCCCTGGGCGTTTCTGATGCTCCCAAAGAATGGGATGATGGGTAAAACAGGGGAGAAGGCTGTAAATGTACAATAACGTGGGTAAAACAGGGGAGAAGGCTGTAAAGGTACAAAAAAAGGTGATTTTTCCCTTTTATTATCCAAAAACTATTTGTAAATTCATTTAATGAGCTCAAATTATTATTTTTTTCAAACCTCCCTGCGGAGGTTAACCCAGTTTTGAAGAATAACTCATTTAGATGGAACAGAAGCACTGAGGAAAGAAAGAAAGAAAAAAAATCTTTGTTTTTTTTTATAAAAGCACTAAAGATAATTTAACAAAATAAGGCCTTGGATGTCAGGAAGGAGAGAAAAACCCAACAAAAGAACTAAAGTAGGGCAAAGCATACGGACTAACACTGAGTGAAAACACGGCAACAGGGAGGGGGTGAGAAACGGTGTGACAAAAGGTGACGGCACACTGAGAAGTAGTGCTAATAATATGCACATGATGTCAGTGAGAAAATCCTGTAAAGAAAAGAAAAAAAGTGAAAAAGGAAAAACGGCCTTAGCTTTGGTAAGGAAGACTTTGTAATGTATGTGCAGAACACATAAAGGCTGTACATGGAATTATTTCCTAATAAACCATATACACCATATGAAATGGATCCCATTATTGTGTTATTCGAAATATAAGTCACTCTGGAGTTTAAGTCGCACCAGCCAGCTAGAGTGCCCTCTAGTGGCTGTTAGTGTGAAAATAACGAAGATGTAAATTTTCAATGGTACAGAATTAGCAGATACTAAGACACAAGCCTAGAGTGCCCTCTAGCGGCTGTCAGTGGGATAATAACAAACGTAAAATTATATATTTTAATATACAAGTCGCACCTGAGTGTAAGTCGCAAATCCAGCCAAAAGATGAAAAAAAGTGTGACTTAAATTCCCGAAAATATGGTAGTTTCTTAAGTGAACCAATAAAAGTGCATGGTGTTGTGTCCATTCCCAGGGATTTTGTTTTCGGCCAATCGCTCGTCTACAAACTAAGACACTTTCCAAGTTCATGTTTATAATCTCAGCACTGGGAATATCTTTCGGTTATCTTTTCTCTCTGTCTCTATGCAGAGACAAACATTCAAACTCACACTCACACCGACGGTCAAGTCAGACTGTCCAAACTGCACGCTAACCACACACCGCGGTCCAGAGCACTGGGTTTGTATATAAAACCATAATGTTCTATCAGCTTATTCAAATCAGGGAGCAGGGAATTTGAGTGTCATTTAAAGCCCTCTCCACTCCAAGGCTGCGAAAACGGGTTAGCTTCATGCTCTGAGTTTACCGTGAACACCACACACACCAACACACACACACTGATAAAGAGTAAGCTGTGCTGATAAGCCATTGGGGAAGAAAGTCAGTCACCGTGACAGGACTCAGAAGGAATACAGGGGAAGAAGTACAGAGAGATTTAAAGTGGAATTAAATGAAGAAGATAAAAAAAAAGACTCAAGTGGGACCTATAATTAAAAAGTGTAGAGAAGGACAGACAGTGAGACTGACACCAGTGAAACAAAACAAATTAACCGGGACACATTGAGAGAAAAAAGGGCGATATACACAAGCTGCTGCAAAATCCCAAAATAGAATAAAAGGAAAGTAGTTAAAGGAGTGAAAAGGAGTGAGATAATGAATGTAAACGCTGACGTGACCCTCGCCTGAAGGATAAGAAAACAGTGGGGATTTCCAGTCACTGAGGAGTGCACTTTAAACTACACACCAACAAATACAAAACGGGCAAGGACAGTCAATGGTAAACCACAACAAATACAAAACGGGCAAGGACAGTAAACCGGATAAACAAAAATCATTTTAGCTTGAAATTCAGTGTCTTTTTTCCCTCTGTAGAAACACCGCTAACAGCTAAAGTCCAGCTGAAGTCATCAGTGAATGTGAACGGCCAAAAGGATTTAAATCAACTTGTGTTTTTTTTTTTCCTTTCCAGTCTTTCTCAGCTTCCTCTGCCTCCTAGCTGTGTTGCTACCACCGGCCTCCTCCTGCCCTCCTTCCTGTCTCTGCTCCTCGGACATGGTGGTGGACTGCAGAGGCCGAGGTCTCACGTCCCTGCCTCCTCTGCACCTCCTGCCTCCCGGGAGCCGCTCATTTCTGCTGACCAACAACAGGCTGTCGTCGCTGGGGGCCTCGGCTTTCGCTAACCTCTCTTCTCTGGAGGTCTGCTGCCCATTGTTTTGCAATGATGCTAAAGTTTCTCCCTGTTGAACATGTTGTGGGTTGATGTTTATTGACCAAAACAAACTGACCTCTGCTCTGTGTCTGCCAAGCTCAGGAAAGTTTGACATTTTGAAACTCCTGCAGGGCTTCTGAGCATTAGCATATCGCTTACACAGGCATCTATCTTGGTATTTAAAAAATAGCGGAGCATCTGTATTGATGAGAAGTTGCTGCAACTACAGAAAACACAAATCCAAACAAAGTGGTCACAGCCCACGGCCAATTCATTGTCACTGATTAATGTGCAGCATCGCACTTTTAGTTTTTCTATTTCAAAGGCTTCTTTAAGTTGAAAAACTTTTTTGGACACAGCATTTCTGTATATACAGAAATAAATTACATTACGTTACTATTGTAAAATATATATATGTATATCTTGCAAATAATTTGTCCTCGTTTGTCAATGCGTGGCAGGTAGAACATTGAAATACTTGTCCGCTAGGTGGCAGTAAATGGCCATAAAAACTAAAAAGAAATCAGAATCAGAGCTGTTGAGGGAGATCTTTGTGTCTTTCTTCAATTCCTGTTAATATATCAGCATTGTCTTCAACTAAACAGGCCGAGATTTTAGTGAATTGTGAGTAAATTTAAACTATAAGGTTAATATAGATAAGTAAATTTAAACTATAAGGTTAATATAAATATATATTTATACTTTTTGTCAGATATTTGTTTGGTGGTGTGTCGTGTCGGTTTTTCTAATACAGTTGGGAAACACTGGTATGATCAGTCTGTAACTCTGGTCAAAACAAACATGATATTTAGAGATTGTGTTTCTAAGATATTTTTTTTTCTTGTGTATTTCAGGAACTGGACCTCTCCAATAACTACCTAGATAATTTACCTGCTGGATTATTCAGAGACATGTCCAACCTGACCACACTTAATCTGCACAACAACTCACTAACAGTAATGGACAGAGACCTGTTCCAGGTAAGTGGGAAACACAGACAGGATTTATTGACGACTGACTGGAGGACGACCAACTTTGCAGATCTGTTGTAGAAAATATCCAAGTCAGATATTAAATCCACTGAAATGATCCATCAAACGTGTAAATTTTACCCCTGGGTTTGGCCTAACAAACTTTGTTTGGGGTGTTTGCCAACTCCGAACGATTTGCTGACATGACTGGGGCCCGGTCCAGGCGGTGAATTAATAATATTCCATTTGCTCAACATTTTTATTCACTTTTAATCTGAACCTCAGCAGTCTGTGCGATGAGCTTGAGTCAGGAGTTTAACTTTATTGAACGTGATAAGTCCATCATCTGACTCTGAAGACACAAGGTGGTGATAATACCAGACAAAAATGCTGAGGAAAGAAGAACTAAGGAAATATAACAGTATGGATTACAGTATATTATAAGCAAAACAAACAAAACATCTCTAAGTGAATGATGTTTCTGCAGGGCTTGGGGGCAATTCAGAGGCTGGACATGTCTCTGAATGGACTCTCGTCCATACCCCTGGGGCTGATGGACGAACTGCAGAGCCTGAGGTCAGCAAATTATATCAACGCCAGCCTGATTACACCGACCAAATGAGAAGTGATGGAGCTTTAGAATGAATACGTGCTGTGTTCCTTAGGTGGCTGTCTCTAGCAGGGAACAGGCTCAACGCTTTGGAGAGGGCAGCGTTCGAGCCCCTCGCCAACCTGCAATACCTGGAATTGGGAAACAACCCCTGGGAGTGTGACTGCAACCTCCGGGATTTTAAACACTGGATGGAGTGGCTGCTGTATCGAGGTGAGGGCTTTTGTAAGACGGGGGCAAATCGGGTTGCAAAGTCATCGTAGAAAAAAAAATAAAAGAAAGGCTGAACGTCGGCCACTGGGAGTGCCGTTGTGTTGTTTCCTATTTTGCAGTGGTGGTGATTCTAAACACATAATTGCAGTGGGGTCGGACAGCACATTATTATGCTTGTTGTTGTGTATTTCTACATACACCGTTGTGTTATCAGCCTGTCTCAGCTGCCTGATAGTACATCAGATAAACACAGCTGCTGCTGCTGCTGCTGCTGCTGCTGCTGCTGCCGCTCTCCTCATGTGTAAGAATCTACATTCACCTCAGCACCTCCAGCCTCAGCTGCCCTGCTAATGAAACATCTCGTTTCACTCACTCCATCCTCCTCCCTCCTCCTCTCTCCTCCTCCTCTCTCCTCCGCCTTGCTGTAGGCTCTGCTCTCAACAGTTTTGTTAACTCCAGACCGATACACATGGAGGAAGTGATCCGTTTATAATCGTTGGAGCAGTGGGACAAAAATACAAAGGGAGGAAGGCGGGATCTATTAAATAGAAAAAAGATGCACGATCCCTTGAAATTTAACAAAATAAAAAAAAAAAAATCTCAACAATTTTGTGATGAGATTCATGAACACATGCATTTTTCTATTTTTTTTTTCATTTCTACTTTTAATTCTGAATGACATGGACCTGTCTATGGGATTAGCGGTGGAATTTAGCCACCTGGCCCTGATCTTATGTATTTACATGTATTTTATATGCTTTGAAAAAAAAAACGAACTCTAAAATTAAATTACTGCAGAGCCTCATTAGGAGCCAAACGACCATTCCCATTCAAACTCAGCTCGGTGTCCTACTTTTAGCTGCTTCTGTTACAGGTTTCCATAGATGAAAATCTGCCTGCACTTCACTCTAGCCCTCTGTTGTTTTCTTTTTTTCTTTTTTTTTGGATGAGGGTTCCTCTTTGTATCTCCTCTGGCAGCATCATTAAGGATTTCTTCCGTTTTCTTTCAAGCAGCGACGGCTCATCGTTACTAAATTATTGCCGGAAATGCTCCAGTGTGGAGGGCAGATGCCCAATCCCTGTCACCACTACTGTACCCTCAATAATATTTCCTAAAGAGTCTCACCCCACTGGGCCACGGCAGTCCACATTTAATAAACAAACTAAGTCTAAGGCCTAGCTTGATTTCATCTAACATGTAAACAGTTTACTCTCACTTTCTCTCCCTCCCTCCCCCTCTGTCTCTCTCTCTGTCCAGTCCAATGACTCGTAATGTTGTGCCATGGCCGACCTCCACCTCTCTGTGTTTCTTAGTCTTGTTTTTTACTGGTTGCATAAAGGACCACACCTTGTCCTCCTGTCACTGCACTTTTTTCGTCTCTCTTTTCAGGGGGGAAAGTAGATGCGGTTGAGTGCACGCTACCGAAGGACCTACGTGGGCGAGACATCCGTAGCGTTCCGGTGGAAATGTTCAACTACTGCCTCCAACTGGAAGACGAGAACGGAGGAGGCGAGGGCTCCCGCTCTGGACAGAAAGGCATTCCTCCCTGTAGCAGGAACGCTTTTAACCCCAGTGGGACGACACCAGTAACTGACAACACTGCTGATGACTCCCCGTCAAACACGGGAGGAGCTGAGGCCCCGTCAGAGTGCGTCCGCGCCCGCTACCGGCCCGTTAGCGTACGCCGTGCCATCGGTACGGTGGTGATTGCCGGCGTGGTTTGTGGCATAGTCTGCATCATGATGGTGGCGGCCGCAGCTTATGGCTGCATATACGCCTCACTCATGGCCAAATACCAGAGAGAGCTGAAGAAAAGGCAACCACTGATGGGAGACGGAGAGGCCGATGGGGAGGACAGGGAGGAGAAACAAATCTCCTCCGTGGCGTAGAGTGATGGGACCGGAGCGAGGTGAAGGTGGGGGGTGTGGAAATTAAGGGCTCAAAGAAAAGAGAGATGGAAGAGCTTGTTTAATGCGGGTTTCACTCACACACACACACACATCCTCAGCTACGGCTGTCTCTCAAAATCACACTTTTTGTCTTCCTTCCTTTGTCCTCTTTCTATTTTTAACTGTCTCCTTCTGTCCTCCTCTGAATACACAGTCCCTCACACACAACCCTATCTGCTTCTCACTGCAGTATTTGGTACCAACTCACCCTCCGACTCACCCTCCAACTCGCCCACCAAACCACCCACAACTCCTGCTGTTGGCTGGCTGCTGCTGCGTTCATAAGGACCAGGAGGAAACAGATACACGAATAAGAAGTGGTACTTTTGCTAATACGATACATATCATTTACGATATAACAATAGCGTGTGGTCAGTCGCGTGTTTGTCGAGTTTATTGAAATTTCAGGGATTTACAGTCTGTATAATGGTAATCGGACCAATTTTACACAAATATGAAGAATGCAGCGATTGTTGCGTTGGTACGCCGTCTCCATCTGAACCTCAAAAAAACCCAAAAAACTTTTGGTCAAACGCTACTCAGCTGTTTCTTTAGCTAACGCTTCCAAAGCAGCTAATGTTTCACAGAGTGGAGGAGCAGAGTGTTACAAAGCATTAGCATTAACAAATCTTAAATGTGTTGTCAAGAAGAGAACTGTTGGAAGACACAGATCAATCGAGGACGATGAGTCTCAGGACTTCTTATGGATGGACACCTGAATCAATGAAGCGATCATTCGTGGACATCAATAGATGGACAGTTTCTGAACCTGTTTATCTCCGGCTCATCTTTGGACCAATATTCCCCAGATGTCAGACTGGAACTGTGTGCATGAGATTCTACAGTGGATATTATTTATTGGTTTGGTTTAAAGGGCGACAAACCGAAGTTGAACTCCTTAAATGAGCGAATCCTCGTATTTTTGTCCCTGCTTGCTCGATGCTTGTAACTGGACAGGTCAAAACCCGAATATTACGGCAAAAACGTGGGTGGTCTAACCTTTCTGCTATGATGTGGGCTATGCTTCCAGGCTGACATCCTCACAGTTGTTTTCTAAAAGTCTCAAAGACTTTGTTTTCAGACTCAGCAAAGGATTAAGTTTGCTACTACGGCATGAAAAAAAAAATCTCAGAGAATCCTGTCTCCCTGCGATGACGACAAATATTCATCCAAGGACTAGAAAAACTCCAGACTCCTGCACTTTATTTCCCCAAATCATGGACCCTCTGACCTCCTTCACCTGCTTTGCTTTCTTTTTTTTCTATAAAGGAAGATATGCCGAAAGGGATTGAACGAAAAGACGCTGCTATTTTCTCCCCCCTCTTCCCTTTTGTTCCTTTATCGCTCCCTTATCTTTTCAGCCTCAGCTATTTATGGAAAGTACTTCACATTTCCTCGACAGTTTCCCCCTCAGCTGGCATCCACTATTAAGTATTCACAAACACCGTTTTTACAAAGGATGGCGCACTTTCTAAAAATGCAATAATAATAAAAACAAAAGTCTATATATTGTCATTAAATCTAAATAGCAGACTCAGCGCTAGATGCTAATCTCGAGATTACCACAGAATAACAACACTTTATATTTTTTTTGGCACACAACCGACTTTGGTTGCTCAACAGTCTATGGTCATCGCACCCTGATCTGGACCGCAGGCAGGCCAGTTGAGCACACAAATTTAAAACTTGTTTTTTTTTTATTGCAATTTAAGAAAGTCAACCAATGAAAATATACATATTATGTAGTGTCTTTATTTCCCAAAGATTGCAATATACAATGGAAGTTGTTCTAGTGCCACTAAAAAAGTACCAGTCAGAAACCGAATTATCAATTACTCATTCGAATCTGTTTAATAAATGTAGTCGCATCTTGAAAAAAAAATTTTTTCAAACATATTTCCCTCAGTCTCAGTGTCACAGAAACGCCCTTCATTGCATATTGCCACTCTACAATAATAATAATTGTCCTTTCTAAAATCTGAATTGGCCAGTAGTAAGTATATACTAATAGTGTGTTCTCTAATACATGGCTATGATACAGATAATCAATAATATACTCGTCTCTACTATGGTGTGTTGACCCTGACATTTCTCATTAATGTTATTGGTGTTACAGTTCATTGTTTTCTGTCTCTGTCCATGTTTGTTTCTGCTGTTCACACTGTTTATATATATAAATATATATATATTTGCTTCATTTTAGTTTTTAAAATCTCTGTAAAGTTTGATTATTTGTCGTGTTTCTTCTTATTGTATTCAGTAGTTGGTGAAGATTCTTCCCGAGGGACAGAAAGAGTTTGGACAGGGTTTGTTCCACGTTGCTTCCTGATGGCTACAATTCCACCGCCGTCACTAGAAAAAAGTCACCTTTTTCTTTATGATATGATTTTTTTTAACCCGATGCAAAGAGCTCATGGTTTGTGAAAAATTCTGAACCAAGAATGGGTGCAAATTAGAATGAATTGGCAGTGAGATAAACAACGAGATGCACCAGAGCTGATTATCTGATCGCACTGTATGATATTCCTAAATTTTTATGGCACACTATATTCAGAGGCATCTAAAAACAATGCAGTATAAGCTACATTTGAATAGTTTTGTAAAATCCAAAAATATATGCAGTGGCTTTGTTTGCGAGAATTACGGTAATCGTCAGGTAAACTGGAACGCAGCCGATGTCCGAGCTCTTTCTGTACGTCCACAAACACTGTACTGTCACCCTGTGATCTACAGGTCTCATGTTGTTGGTACCTATGTATCTTTGCTAGCTAAACCCGTTCCCCCTTTAGCCTGTGTGTGTTAAGAATAATAAATTATAGTTTGCTACATACAGTATGTCGACTGAGGGCTTCGAAGACTATGCTGCCGACTGGTCTTTCCTGTGTTTGGACTAGTATGATCATGTTGGTCGTGGCGGGAGGATGGTAAAGCATTTCCTGATCATTATGCATCAATTTAAATAAAATACATATCACAATGACATCGGATTCAAAAAATAACTTTCTATATGGCTACTTCTTATTTGATTATTTTTATACCATATTTTTCAGACTATAAGTCGCACTTTTTTCATCCTTTAGCTAGGTTTGTGACTTATACTCAGGTGCGACTTATATATAAAAATATATAATTTCACATGTTTATTATTTTTACACTGACAGTCGGTAGAGGGCACAGGTGCGACTTATACTCCAGAGCGACTTATAGTACGGAAAATACGGTAATCAGTTAGTCTGGTGAAGAACTTCTTATCTTCTATCTTCTAAATGATAGCGTCCACTGAGAAAACGTCAGTTTTAATGACACGTCTTATTCTGTGCCTCATGTCGTTTCTGTTATTGGCCGATTCCCTCTGTTTCTACCCCCCCCCCCTTCTTTCGCCTTCCTTTCTCACTTAACTTCTGTTGATTTATTTTCCCGTCACCTTTTGATCTATCTTTTTTTTTCACTCTTTTCACCTCTCCATCTTTCATCACAGACCACTCTGTCCTGTTCTCTGCTGGGTCCACTGTGTGTCTTTCCTTCGTTTCTCACCAGCTGTTTTTATTTCCAGCCTTTTTTTTTTTTTATTCTTCTTCTGCTCCTGATGCCCCACAACGTCTCTCAGATTTCTTTTATCGTCACTCCTCGGTTTACTATTTTATTATAACAATTGTATTGTACAATCTCGCTCTCTTTTGCTAATGTGATATGCTAATCCATAGCAGAGTCTCAGAACAGTATGAATATGGTGGTTTGTTTGTCACAGTTGAATGATTTTCATTTTTCAGCCCCTGCATTGGTAAAACCTGGGCCTTTATCACAGCAGAATTAAAAATTTACAACGGCTCGGCAGTAACGCTTACACAAATCCTAGTAGTTGGTTAAAAACAAACAAACAAACAAAAAAAAAATCTATCCAGTTGCTGGAATGCAGTGACACATCCACAAACCACTAACTGCCTACAGCCTGTTCTCATTTAATCAATAAAGGACGGTCTTCATCTGTGCACAGTGAATGTCAGATGATTCATAAGATTATACAACATTTATCAGAGGGATCACCTTCTCTGAAACAGAATATCCAGGGTTTATTTGCACATGTAGACTGATGCCGTAGGTTAGGACACTAGACTAGAGTGTGTGAAAGCAAGACAGCTTTGAAGTATTTGATCTCACGTTGAAGAAGCAGCAAGGAAGCTACGGCTATTCAGCTATGAACAGATGAAGAGCAAAGGGCCGAGAAGTAAAAGCCTTCACACGGTCAAGAGAATAACAGTCAGAAAGGCTTGTGCAGGGCGAAGGTGGCAGGTGTGACCGCTCAGAGAGAGATGCACAGTATTTAACAGTAAAAGGAACCATGTCAGAGGTTGAACCCGAGAGTGAGTCATGTGGGTGTGAGGCGTGAATAAATGCAGAGCTGTTCTTGTCATTTACTGAGGATGTCTTCTCTCACTGAGGGGATGCAGCTGTTAGAAACCTCTTCAGGTCTACACGAACTACACTGATGGAAAATAAGTACCGTATTTTCAGGACTTCGAACTACACTGATGGAAAATAAGTACCAGATTTTCAGGACTTTAAGTTGCTTTTTTTTCATCCTTTTGTGACTTATACTCAGATGCGACTTAGATATCAGAAGATATTATTTCACACAGATGCGACTTAGATATCAGAAGATATCATTTCACAGTTTGTTGTTTTCACACGGAGATTCACTAGAGGGCACTCTTGCTGGTTGTTGTGATCTATACTTTGGAGAGACGTATGTATGTTTTTCTTCTTCATTTTTAATTTTTTGGCTGGTGCGACTTATATTTAGAAAAATACAGTAATGGGATTCCTTACAGCTGCTAGAGGGCACTGGTGCGACTTATACTCCAAAGCAACTTACATTTAGAAAAATACAGTAATGGGATTCATTGGTACTGGTGCGACTTATAGTCTGGAAAATACGGTGCGTTCATAACTTTGCCATAGCATTTTATACAGCATAGCAAGATATACCATAGTATAGTGTAATATAGCGTGGTATCGCAAATCTTACGTTTGTGAAGAAAACGTGGTTTGACTTGACTTGATTATAGTATAGAATAGTGCAGTATTAGATTGCATTGTATGGTAGAGTATTATCTAGTATTGTATAATACAGGGCAGCATAGCACAGTACAGTAGAGTACTGTACAGTGCAGTACAGTATTGCTGCATAGCTCCATGATAATGGCCAGAGGGTCCAGAGCTACCTGTTAATTATAAGGCTGTACACCTCCTGTTGACGACTCTCTGTCCCTATAGATTTATACATACATCCAAATAACACTACTACATGTCATTAACTTTTCACTCCCTCTCTCTCTCTCTCTCTCTCTCCCTTTCTGTCCTCATTTTTCCCAGGTTTCTTTGCCTCCAGAGCTACAGGCTCCAGATCTGCCATCATACTCAACACTAATCATGATCATTATTAACGGTAATACAGCTGTTCCCTGTCTGTCTCCCTGCTCTTACTTCAGGCAGATTACTGTCGTTCCCTGTCTCCTATCCAGATTCTGGGAAGTTCTGTTCTCTCCTGGTTTTTTTTTTTTTTTTTTTTTGTACATATTCACGGACAATATTTTGTATTTTTTCAAAAGTTCCACAGCAAAGCCTTACACTCCAGTACCTTGAGTTTATGCACATTAATAATCTTGCCAGTGGATAGAAACAGCACATTGCTACCTAGAAGGACAAGCCAGATGCCAGACAGTATAAATCAGCAGTGTCAAATATACAGCCCGCGGGCCAAAATCAGCCCCTCGGGGGGTTCAATTCGGCCCACTTCATGAACATTGAAAGCAAAAAAAATCTCCATGTTGATGATGTTTTTCGAAATGATATTTCATTTGATTTTATACACTGCACTCAATCTAAAAATTCAATAATTCAACACAGAGACAACCAAATACCAAAGGTGAGAGACAACAGGAAGTGCCAGGTGACTGTAGCCTGTGACACTGTGTGCGTGCTGAAGGTGAAAAAAAAAAAAATCAATCCCATCCTACCTCCAGCGATGGCGGTTTTCTTGCGCACAGTCACGGTGACAGCAGTGGTGGCGATCACAATCCTTCCCGCTGTGAGAGCGACAAAGGTACATTAGCAAAAACACAGAGAAACATCACACGACTTCACACGTGCACGACACACAAACACAAATGTATCTACTGTGTCTTCAAGGCGTGCACAGAACCATGAAAAAGGACACACACACACACACACACACATGAGAAATGGCTCCGGTTGAATGTATTGTGTTACACATCGAAGCGACAGCTGACGTGTTTGTGCAGCAGCGCCAAAATGTGTTGGAAATATGTGCATAACAGATTTACTTGGATGGGAGAAAGCAATATTTAATGAAGTCATGCTTGGTCTGTCGGCGAGTCTATTCACAGCCCCCACGCCAGCAGATGCCAACTGTCGCCGAGCTGCAGATTCCAGCCAGATTATCAGTTTAGGCCTTACGTAAGTGAGATTACAAGAGGTAATCATCTAATACAGTTATAACAGAGGGATTCTCTGTGTGAAATATGGCTTCTATTAGTGGTTATTTATTACCCTGAGAGTGGAACAGTCGTGGTACTTTGTATTGTATCGAATGAATTATTTGGGATGATTTATTGGCTTCTGCACAGTGGTTGTTGTGGGATCAATATTGTAATGTAAATTAATTCCATGCTCATGCATTAAAAAGAAAGAGATGGATGAGAAAACGCCAAAAAATTAAATATTAAAAAAAAAAATCGGAATTGAATGGCGAACACAGCGGCTGCACGGCTCATGCGTTCCCTAATGTCCTGACAAGGATGAACAAGAAGAGGAGTCATGCCAAGTATTAGTAGCAGTTGTCCTATACCCTCCTCCTTTTTCTCCTCCTCCTCCTCTTCCTCATTCATCACCTCTGCCTCCTCCCGTTCTCTCTTACCCTCCTCTGTTTGCTGCTTCACATCCTTTGCTCTCGGGATGGAGCTATAGTGAACCTCATAACCCCTGTGCACATCTGAACACAACACACTCTGCTTTTTCATTAGGCTAATCATTAGAAAACAGTGATTCCCAACCACTGTGCCGTGAGAGAGCTTTAGGTGTGCAGTGGATAATTAAAAAAATATGGTGGCAGCAGATGGTTATGAAAACCAGAATAGATAATCAGATAATCAGAGCTGTTGAAGAAGATCTTTGTGAGTGTCTTTCTTCAATTCCTGCCACCATATCAGCGTTGTCTTCAACTAAACAGGCCAAGATTTGAGGTCATTTAACTAAGAAGATAATTATATTTCAGTACATATACTTTTTGTTTATATATTCTTATACTAGTCATTTAAACTAGCTGGGTTATGATATATACGTTTGTGCCGTGGCTCAAAAAAGGTTGGGAAACACTGCAGTAGAAAACAGTGACTTGATGTTTACAACAGTGCACTGATGAAGCATTACAAAAACCACATATCATATTTAATGGCCTTTTCAGAGTGAGCAGAAACTTTAAAAAACTTTAAACTAGCTTCAAACTCATCTGCAGTATATCCAATTTCAACTTTTCTTCACCGCTTCATATTAAGAAATAACCACATTATCAGCTTCATATTGCGTTATAACAAGATTATTTCCAACTTCCAGTCTTGTCTTGGTGCCACAGGCGTCCTCTAAGTATATGTTAGTTACTAAATTAACTAAAAAAAGTATTTTCACTCCAGAAGAGATCGATAAGAAAATTAGCTGGTGATCAAATTTACTGACTTTTCCTTCTTACGTCCTCATTTTTCAAGAAGAACAAAAACAAAGTTAGGGGTTAGTAGGCTGTGATGATAAATACGACGACAACATCTGCAGAAAATGTGAGTCAGGAGTTAATGATCTTTCAGTATGACACAAAGACAATGATATTGTAACTGTGGGAAAGTTGTGGGTTTTTAATTTCTTTTCTTACTTTCCTCTTTGTTTGTTTGTTTGAATGTCTCGTTTACCTTTAGTATCTGGTCTGGGCATGTAGTACAGAAACTGTCCAGGTGGGTTCTCCGCTGCTCTGCGGTACCACAGTGGGAAGTGATCCAGTGTGAACATATTCTCATTGTCTTTGGGGGTGAGGAAAGACCTTGGATGAGAAGAAGCAGATAACGTTAGAAAACATCATTACTGCTCATGTCTGTGGGTTGCTTCTACTGGCCCCTCATGGCCAAAAATATATTTGATCTCAATTAGACTTTCTATGTTAAAGAACAGCATTATTAATAAGGTTTAACATATTTTTTTTATCAAAAAATATTAGGAAAATAAATTATATTTTTTGTTTTTGCTCATTATTTGTCAATCAGTGACGTTACAGCTCCTTAACTGACCACAAGAGGGTGACCTTACACATTGCATGTAATTTTACTCTTTTTCCTCTGTTGTGGCAGTTATAAATCAGCAGCTATGTCACATTTATGTTGCAGATGAAGATGCCAAACGTGCAGGCAGATCCTATTCCCCATACCTGCCGACCCGTTTCTCAACACCAGCGTACCGCTGGAATCTCGTCAGGCCTGAACGGGTTCCCAGGAACGCCGTCTCGATCCCCTCATCCATACTGAGAAGCAGAAGGAAATGGAAGGAGGAGATGGAGGAGGGGAGAGAGAGATGGGGGAGATAAAATTAATTGAAAAATAAAAATAACTCCACACCAGACCACTCTGGGAGTTCAGCATGCAATCATATTCACCCCGAAGCGTTGAGCATGAGTGCAGTCCAGTAGGCCTCCATCGGAGCTGTGACCACAGCATCAAAGAGCGTCTGCTGTAACAAATGCATGTCACCTGTGGAGAGGAAACAGCAGGAGGAGAAAAAACATCACACTGTGCTCTGCACTAATGAGATGCAGAGGTGATTGAGTATGAATGGGCTGATTCATTAGGGCGATTATCTGCTGCTTGTATATGAATTTGCACTTTTGGTGTGAAAATAAATTTTAATTAAAACTCCATTACGATGCACGGCCACATTTGGACACTCACACTTTTCATTTTAATTGGCTCTAAAAATAAAACACAAGAAAAACAAACAAATGGCTGCGGCGCTGTGAGCTCTGAACAGTTGCCTGTTTTGTTACGTGGGTGAGTGAGTGAGTGAGTGAGTGAGTGAGTGAGTGAGTGAGTGAGTGAGTGAGTGAGGGTGTGAGGGTGTGAGGGTGTGAGAGCAGTTTTTCTCTTCCTGTATAAACACACAAACTGTTCTTGTTAATAAAAAAACCAAAGGTTCCAGTGCAAAGATATGATGTGCTGAGACTGAAGTGTCCACTCACACTCCAGGTCTGGTTCTTTGCCAGAGAAGTATCGAATGACAGCTTGCAGTTGGCTCAGCTTGCGGTGCGCGGGGTCAATGTCTGTCTCACAGTATGTCCTGTCACACAAACAAACACAGGGATGGAGCGTGTGGGTAAACAAATACTGCATTTTGATTTGGTTGGAGTAGCAAGCTGGTACAGAGAGGGAAACACTCACCAGTCATTAGCAATAGTCAGATCAGGAGCCATCAAGTCATGGAGACCTTAAAGAAAGTTGAAAAAAAAAAAACCCCAAAACATGTCACCAGAGACAGAGAGACATAAAACCATGGCGATGGATAAACATGAACATATTTACCTTCTTCAACAGAGACATTTCCTTTAAATATGTACTCTCCATGTCCTTGTGTTAACACTATACCAAGACTAAAAAAAAAAAAATAGAATAAAAAAGATTAGTTTGGCTTATATATATATATATACACCAGTGATTCTCAACTGGCAGCCCGTGGGCCAAAACTGGCCCGCCGAACTGTCCAATTCAACCCAGGGCTGGACACATCAAATTATAATAGACAAAAATGTGATGTTTATTAAATTTTATGTCCGCCCCACCAAGGTGGCTGTCCAGAAACATTTTGGCCCTATGGTAGGCGCCCCCTGCTGTATATTCTGAGAACTCATAGGTGACATTATTTAGCAATAACCACTCAGGAGACCAAACATGTTTTTGATCTCCTGAGTGGCTCAAAGTGAACCTATAAAATGTATTATTTTTAATATTATTAATTATATCAAATTACATGTGAGACATTTACTGTATGACTGTAAACTGGTTTCACACCTGAATGGTGTCTCATTGATGTCAGTGTGGAAGTAATCGTTCCTCAGGAAGAGTACCCTCGTCTGTGAGGGACAAAAAAAAAAAAATCATAAATGCAGTTGATAAAGACAAGATATCTTTAGTAAAGTACCACTGAATGGTAGTACTCGACGAGGTACTCACTCCTTTATCTACCGTCGCCTTCACATCTAGAGCTAAAGTTCCAGTGTCTCCTTTGACCATTGCTGTTCTCAGCTGAAACACAGAGACATCACACACTCATCAGCTCATTTGTCATAAGTTATAAAAACATTTATGCTGCAAATCCAAACAAACGTCTATGCTGGCGTTTCTCTCTCTCACTTTCTCCTCCGTGTCTTCCCACTCCACCTCAGACAGATCCACACTGTTGTAGTTGGGTTTGGGCTTGAGCTTCTTCCCTTCTTTGTACTGTGAAACAAATAAAAAAAATCAACACACAGATAAAGAACTGTCCAAAGAAAATACAGTCACTAATGCAGCAGTTTATTGCTCATTTGTATGTACCAGGGGTCTTAAGTCAGGGTGGGACAGGATGTAGCCGTTGTTTGTGATGAGGTAGGCGTAACCATGGACACCAAGCTGAAACAAAGACGAGGAAAATTAGGCTCAGCACCAAAACCTAAAAGTTAAAAAATGATATCATTTTAATTCATTTATTATTTAACGGCAAGTCTGTTTCTGGCAGCGGTGGCTTGGTGGTTAAGGAAGTGGACCTGGGTCCGGAAGGTTTCAGGTTCGAGTCCACCAGCTGCCAAGTTACCACTGAGGTGCTCTGAGCAACTGTTTACTTTGGTCAAAGCAGAGGTCACTTTGGTTGTGGTTGGATCACAGTAATGATCAGTACCTTGTATCTCGGAGCTAATCTCATCAGTTCTCTCACAGCCACGTCGGTTCCAACCACACCCAAGAGAATTCCGTGAGACAGCTACAGGTCAGAAAACAGGGTTTAAAGAATGACTGGGATCAGATTCACACTCACATTCACACCTTCAGGAAATTAAGACTCTCCAGTTATTGGCAGCGTGAACTGGAGAACCTGCTTCAGGAGGGAGGTACGCTGATTCAGCTCTTGTAGTTAAAAATAAATAACAACAGTAGGTCTTACAGTCTCTTTCTTCTTGCTGAACACTGGCATGGCCACTGAGGTCATCAGGAGCAGGCTCTGAGCCTGAGTGTTGAACAACTGGACACACACACACACACACAGAACGAGAAAATCAATCACTTTCTTCAAACGAAGACAGAAGACAATAAACATCAACGGAGTGACTTTAATTGCAGAAAAAAAAAGATTCTATCAACATTCTATCCACAAATCTTTAAGACAGATGTTGAGACAACCTATTGCTCTGACAATCAACTGGAAGAATTCTGGGAGCAATTAAAATAGATAAAAAAGATCAAAACAAACAAACTGTGAATTAAATATTTCATCATTTTCAAATCACATTTAAAGCTTAAAAATAGGATGAAAGGAAAATAAGATCTTCTCAGTGATGAGTATTTCTGTTTCTAAAATCTAAGATCTAAAAGTGTGTTCTGTTCAAGAGCTTTTCTTGACAGAAGGAAATGAAAGGATGGCAGAGCCAGAGAGTTAAGAGGCAATTTGTAGAGTACTTCAACGACAGAACACACAGGAAACAAGTTGTTCCCTGTTGCTCCTCTCCTTCTCCAAAACAAGCAGCCACAAATAACTATTATAATAACTGCTGTTATAACTGAAGTAATAACTGCTGTAATACCTGTTGTAATAACTGCTGTAATAACTACTGATTACTTGTGTTTTTTGCACTTTCTAAGAGCAATTTGTTAGAATTGCATTTCTAATCAAAGGCAGCTGTGTCAGGACAAGGTTTCTAACTAAGAATTGGAAGGCTACTTCAGGTCACTGGGGGGGTGAGCTGCTAGGCTAACGGTGCTTTTTAACACTACAGACATCGACTGGGTGAATCAGAGTTCTAATTTAATTCTAATTAAATTGCTGGCAGAGTCAGAGGTACAAAGACATCAGCTTGATTACCTTCTCTAAGTTTGGCAACTGGTGGGGATGAAGGAAAGTCAAAATGTACACAGTGACGGTGAAATCATCGGTCAAACATGGCGTGGATGAAGAAATGGAGATTAGAATAATCAATACAGACATTTCCCCTGGGCGGTGAAGTTGTACAACAACAGTAGATCAGGGCAGTACTTTTTAGAACTTTTTTTCTTAGTAACCTTTTAATGGTTTTAAGAACTAAACTAATTAAAGTCAGTGTGTAGTGATGGTCCATCTACTGCAGGACAGTCCTGTTTGACAAAAAAAAAAAAGGGAAAGACATTGAAACAATAACTTTACAGAGACACTGACCACACTGTCCATGTAGGCCTCTGTCCATATGATGTCATGATCATGGTTGATGACCATTGGCCTGCTGAGAACATGTAGGTACTCCATCACGTTTTCTTGAACGTCCGCCAGTGTGGAAACATGCGTGTAGTAGCCTGGGGAGAACACAAGTAGTACTATGTGTACCTGACTGTATGTAATTTACCACATGGTAAAATACATGAATAAATACAGTAATAATTGTCTTATTAATGTTACTGAAGTGCTGCCACATAAAAATATATTTTTTCTTAATATTATGTCAATGTTTTTATAAGTAGTTATTGTAAACACTTCCATAAATTGCTGTAGGAGTACTTCCATTTCTAGATTACTATTTCAATAATAAGAATTTCTCTGATTGTTACAGTTTGCTGTTTGCAGCTGCCAGTTACTGCAACAGAAGGGCGAGCACCTGTTTTGAGTTACGCACACTCTCACACACAAACACACAAATATGATATTTTCGGGGCAGCATTGTGTCTACGGTGTAGCCGTGTTTATAATCAGGTATTTAGTCCGAGGTTTCTGATGTAATCACGGTGGGATTAAGCGATTATTTTTCAGGGCTTGGGCTGCTGCAGGATCCCACATTACTCACAAGAGGGCAGCACCTGACACCCAGCCTGATGCAGCGTCAGTTGTTAAACACGGAGTACGGAGAGGTTTTGAATAATAGTCATATTAAAATACACAATTTGGCTGAGAAACAAATGAATTGATTCTCAGTTTCTTTTTTAAATAACAACAGCGTCAGTTGTTAAACACGGAGTACGTAGAGCTTTTGAATAATAGTCTATATTAAAATACACAATTTGGATGAGAAACAAATTAATTGATACAATTTTTTTAAAATAATATTTTTACCCTTGTTGTTGCAGGCGATCCATTTGACATTTTCAGCAAAGGTCATCTCTCGTCCAATCAGATACGTGAACACACGGACCTGCAGAGAATCAAACACAACATAAACTAAAGGACAGATTCAGACATGGATTTCTACTTAAATTGGAAAAAATAAATGATCTTAGTAACACCGTTGCTTTGCTAGCAAACAACAATAAAACACCATCTACTGTATATTTGGACCAAACTTCATCTATGCTGATGATGTCATAGTTGGTGTCATACCCTCCGATCTGGCCAGTTAAACTTTTCAAAAACATCCTGGTAGTCCTCCATGGCTCCGTCCGTAATCAGCATGATGGCCTGGTTACACAAGCTGCCCTGACCCAGGGCGGCAGCCTGGAGGCACATACAGAAGAGAACCATTTAAGACCATTAAAAAAAGGTCGAAGTTCATTACAGCGTCTGAGGCTGGTGTGGCACCTCGTTGAGGATCTTGAAAGATTCTTTCATGGCTTTTTTCACTTTGCCTTCTCCTTTGACGTGGAGTTCTTCAACCAGTAGCTTAAAATGCTGAAAAAACAAGACACAGATGTCAGGAGGTCACTGAAGGTCACTGGAGGTCACTGGAGGTCACTGGAGGTCACTGGAGGTCACTGGTTTATATAATAGTCACCAGAAGATTTAGAGTGAAAGGAATTGATTTTATTATCCACCTGTATGACTCCTACACTTTGCCTCACCACCAGAGGGCAATTCATAATAATTATTATTACTCTCTTAAAAATGAGAGGAAAATAAAAGGGCTTTGCGGCGACAATAAAAGGTAACAAGCATAAAACGACTTGATTAATACCGGAGAAATAAAACAAGAAATGAACACTTTGTAGCTGTTAAAAATAATGAATGTTTTCATCCCTTCGTCTACTGGATTTTATGGAAAGCAGCGACAACAAAACATGAAATAAAACATGACCCTCTGAATGTGTGTGTGTGTGTGTGTTTAACACAGGAGTTCAAGCCTAAGTGTGTCAGCCAACATCTGTAAGCCCATTCTGTTACAGTGTGTCTCTTAAGGCTTCCAGCCAATCAAATCCCTTCGCTGAAAAGTCATGTGTCCTACTTAAAAAACTGTCAGCATCCGGCCACCTTACCTGATCTGGGACTGTATGAAGGGAAGAGAAAGTAGGGCAAACATCCAACACATACAGTAACACACACACTGTGCAGATGTTGGCGTATTGAATGATATTTTCGCTGCAGTTTCATCAAAGTGTATAAAACAAACTGTTTACCAACCAGGATACCAGACACAGGTCCAGACTGGTGTTACAACCATAATCTGACGGCATATGCCTTTGGTGGATCAGCGAGATCAGAGCTTAACGATTAATAGGTGAGCGGAGGTTAAGTACATTAATTAGCCCGTGAGCCTACGTTCACAGGCAAGCACTCGTTACCTCTCTGTTGTCCAGGTCGGCTTGAACCAGAGTGCCCTTGAAACAGGGCTCCACGTAACGGACGTAGTCGCTGTACTGTGGAGAGCAACAAAGCAGGGAGAACAGGTCCATCCATCCATCCATCCATCCATCCATCCATCCATCCATCTATCTATCTATCTATCTATCTATCTATCTATTTAATAAAGACTATAGCAGGTCTAGTCACTTATGAAAAAAACTGGGCCACATGTGGCCCACGGCCCACTATTTGAATATACTACGAAGAGGATGAAGACTTACAGCTGTCGCCGCATTATATTATTGTTATATTATTTATACATTTTGTACAACTCGACCAAATGTGGGCTTTGGGGACTATGTGGTATCAAACCCACAACTCTAGCCAAGTTACAAGCACCACATTCGGGATGACATCATACCATAGACCCCAGAAGAGTTCCTTCAGACTGCACAGTGATTTGGTTAAAGGTTTTATACCAGATTCCCTTCCTGATGCAACCCAACCTGGGATGTGGAAACAAGGTGGGGCCTTCATGGTCCTACCACTGCACCACTACACCCCCCTGCTGGGGCATTTACAACATTCTGCAATAACAACAATAACAATTGGAGTGTTTCCTGCTTCCTTTAACATATATATATTTGTGTGTCCATTTGTTTGTATGTGTGTGTTGTTTTAGTGGACGTGTTCAGGCATTAAGGTTAATCCGTCTGTGTCACGCTCTTCAGGGTTTAGAGACACTCTGGTGAGCAGACCACTCGCGTGTGTGTGTGTGTGTGTGTGTGCAGACTCACCGCAATGATGTTGACAAAGTCATTTTCTCCCAGGGTGTCCAGGATGGTGTTGATGGTGTGTTTGGCTATGGTCAGCCTCAGGCCCTTCATGCTGCCACTGACGTCCACCACAATCACCACGTCTTTGGGAGACGTGGCAGCTTGGATGTACCTACAGGAGAGACAGTTTTTAGACTTTTTAGAGGGTCAAACGTCCCCCGGTGTGAAATATTCCCTGTGGTTCTCAGAGGGACTTGAGGAGAGGGGAGATAATCCAGCTCAGGCTTTACTTGACTGGCCTTTTCATTAAGGATATTAAACAGTGACAAAGGTATTTAAGTAAATTATGTCTGGATTAATTCAGTGAAGCTGCTGCCTTTCTGTATCGCAGCACAGTGACGGCTTCTATTCTGTCAAACAAACCACAGACACTTCACAGCTGACAAACCTAAATGTCTATTTTCAAATGCGTCTGTTTTTGCTGCTGGTTCAACACTGCAGCCAGCTGGAGAAATAAACACACTGCTGGCAATGTTTCTCTTAGCTGCTCTAATTACAAGCTCACAGAAAATACAGAAATGGATTGTGCAATAACTACCCCCCTGATATTAGCATGAGTATGTAGTATCTGTAAGAATCACTATCGGTTTTCCCTCTGATAATAAAGACCCGACCCGTTTCACAAAATGATGTGTGCCCTAAAAACAGTTTTGGGGATAAACGGCTGTATAGTAAAGTTAAAGTCACTAGATGGCAGCATTGCAGCTCATGTATTTAATCTATGCAAATAAGCAGGGGACTGTATGCAGAACGCATTGCAGCTCATGTATTTAATCTATGTAAATAAGCAGGGGACTGTATGCAGATAAATATCACCAGGTCTGTATCGGTTGATATCGGAATCAGAAATTAAGTGTTTGGACAATACTGGCATATTGGATATCAGAAATCCCTAACATTGATCTTTATTTTGCCTTTATTCTGCGCCCTCTGAGGGGGCCCGATCCCCAGTTTGGGAAACACAGAAGTAGTTGATGAACACAGACATACCAGTTTCTGTTTCTGCAGTCGAAGGTGACCACACCATTCTCATCTGGAGTCCACTGGATCCCTGCAGTAAGAGAAAAGACACAGGAGCATTTGATGGTGACTGCAGAACTCCTGCTTATCCAACGGGGCGGATGGATGGATGAGTAGAGGAGCAAATGGATGGTGGGGATGGATGGCAGCAAGCTGTCAAACCAGGAGTAATGAATGAGAGAGCAGACGAGTAAAACAAGCTGTGTCACAAATCCTCAGATAATTAGTCCTCACACACACACACACACACACGCAGAGGCTCATTAGCCGCAGCGCTGCTGCTGAGTCTGAAGTCTGAATCATCACGTTTGACCAACATTCTCCTGCACTGGCAGCTGCCGTGTCAGTCTCATGTTTGGCTGCTGCACCACTCCTCCACGGCAGATGAAAAAAAGTGCATGTGAAGTGAGTGATGTGTGGGTGACACACATGCCTGGGTAGAGCCTGAAAAAGCCTGTGGAACTGCCAAAGTACTGCCAGGTGAGCGTTGGATCTTTCTGGAAGTTTTCGACGAACAGGTCGTTCAGAGCCTCAGACATGTAGACGCCATTCACGATGTCTGGATCTGAAAGAAGAGAATAGAACAAGAGAATGAAGTACAGGTGTGGATATCAGGGAATCAGGCGTTGGTTGGTTCCTGCAGGTTTGTGTCACCTTTGTTGTAGACATTAGTCGGGACTTGTATGTTACTCATTTGTGTGTTAACCAGAAGTGAACTGAAGTGTTCGTTCTCCTCCAGAGGAAACTCTCCTCCCAGAGGCACCGGGTTCCCATCCTCATCCATGGTGTTGATGAGCATGGAGTTATAATAATCAAACTAGAGAAGGAGAAAAAAACAGGTGATGATGATGACTGTAGAAATCTCAAACGAGAAAGAATGAATCACCCTCATGATCTCTTCATGGTTTGTTTCAGGTTACCGTATTTTCCAGAATATAAGTTGCACTTATTTCATCCTTTGGCTGGGTTTGCGACTTATACTCAGGTGCGACTTATATATTAAAATATATAATTTCACGTTATTTTCACACAGACACCCGCTAGAGGGAACTCTAGGCTTGTGTACCAGTATCTGCTACTCCTGTACCACTGAACATTTACAGGATCTTTTTTTCCACACTGACAGCCAATAGAGGGCACTAGTGCAAATTATAGTCCAGAAAATACTGTATTTATACTCAATGCAGTTGCCAATGTGCTGAATCACATTTTTCTTTACACTGAACAACAATCGCAAACTGATGCAAATGTCACGCTGCAGTAACATACCTCCAGTGTTTCATTGTACTCGTGGTAATAATCGGCGTCTTCAGCTGCTTCTGCCAACCTCTGAGATAAAACACCAACAGAGTTTACATTAATAAAATCCATCGGACAGAAGCTCCATAAACATCACACAAGCTTTGGGTAATTTTCTTTTTCTTTTTTCTTTTTTTTTTTACCTTCACAGACTCCATTTTTCTCCCCAGCATTCGCTCCATCTCCTCCGCAAACTTCTTCACCAGTTCCTCTCCGTCCACCTCCTCTATCTTTATCATGCCCTCGATGTCCTTGTATTTCTTCAAAGAGACAAAGTTTTACTGTGAGTCCATAATTTACTCTATTGCATTTATGTCACAGAGATTTACATACAATCACTGAAGTATTAGGGTGGACATATTAAAAAATGTATGTAGAAGATCAGGACTGAAATATCTGTAATGTTTAATTTCCTGTAGTGGCGACAGCAGACCAGATGAGGGAGAACAAACAGAGATAGGGTAATAAAGAGTGTTTCTGGAGCCAACAGTAAACAGCCATGATAACAGTCAGACTACAGTCTTTTTCACTGTGACATCACATTCACCCAGGACAATAGGTCAATATTCTACAGATAAGGAGGAAGTCAGACAGGACGATTATGTTAATGAAATATTTACTGTGACTGATGATGTCGCTACAGCTATGACGAGGTGCCATGGCAACCGAAGTTGCTTTAGTTTTTTCTTGACCAAACATTTAGTGGTTAGCTGCATCTACAATCACGTGTTTCTGGAGCCAACAGTAAACAGCCTTAACCCTGATAACAGTCAGACTACAGTCTTTTTCACTGTGACATCACATTCACCCAGGACAATAGGTCAATATTCTACAGATAAGGAGGAAGTCAGACAGGACGATTATGTTAATGAAATATTTACTGTGACTGATGATGTCGCTACAGCTATGACGAGGTGCCATGGCAACCGAAGTTGCTTTAGTTTTTTCTTGACCAAACATTTAGTGGTTAGCTGCATCTACAATCACCAATCTATATATGAAATCATCAAGTCGATCTTCAAAAACTGGGATATAAAATTTACATTAAAAAAGCATTGGAGAAACAGTTGAAACAAAAAATTAATACAGAAAAATAAGTTCCTTCTCAACTGTACATTACCACTGTGACAAACTGTAGAAGTGATGAGATGAAATAAAAAGAATTTTTAACACGGTCTGTGTTGGTGAGAATGTTTGTGACAGATGGTGAACGGGGCTGCGAGGGATTCTACAGAGTGGTCCTGCAGAGTGTGTGTGTGTGTGTGTGTGTGTGTGTGTGTGTGTGTGGGAGAGGGAGAAAATAGAGGAGGAGCACATTCTAATTATTACCAGCCACGCTTGCAAACACGAAATCTTCTTTGAACTGATGAAAGTGATTTATTTATATTTTAAAAAGACAGGATCAGAGAAAGAACACGATCATTTTTAGTGATAACTTCTTCCTGAACCATAACTGAAACAGCAGTATTTGGAAAAAAAAAACGAGTGTGTTTGAGTGTTTGTTGTCGTTGTCGAGGGGAGGGAGAGCAGAGACTAATCCAGTCTGTCTCAGTCTGCTGTGTTCAGGACTTGTTATCTCTAATATAAAACAACACTGTGAATCGTCTCCTACTGTACCTTCTGCAGGAGTTTAGCTCCGGAGTATCTGGCAGAAAGAGCGTTAATCTCTTTACCGAAGGACGTGGCCCACTGCTGCACTCTGGACACAAACATGAAGAAACACATGAAGAACTTCAGTGATGATGGACAAATATAACTGGTTCTAAACTTTCTTTATATTTATGTGTATATATGTACATACATATATATATAATACACATTTGTTTATTTTAATGTCTTACAGACATCAGAGTTGATCATACAAGGTTATTTGTAACCGCTGCTTAAATATATTGTCGTCATCTAGTGCAGTGTTTCCCAACCTTTTTTGAGCCACATATACTATATCATCAGGAAAAAGCCTATGGCACAGCACCAAACAAAATGAAAATATAATAATAATCTTCCAGTTTAAATGACCTCATAATTGACTAAAATCTCCTCCTGTTTAGTTGAAGACAACGCTGATATACTGGCAGGAATTGAAGAAAGTCACTCACAAGGATCTTCTTAAACAGATCTGATTATCTTTTTTTTTTCATAACCTTCTGCTGCCACCTAGCAGAAGAGAATTTAATTGTTCTGCCTTTCATGCTTTGACGAATAAAGAAAAATTATATGCAATAAATAAATAATAGTTTTCAGACCAATTAAGTGAAATTGGATAATTTTCCACGGTTGGGAATCACTGATCTAGTGAGTACTTCAAGTCTGAAGTATCACTTGAAGGAAATACACTGCTTATACCTGCAAATCACACTAAAATAGTACCTTATTGTTTTTTGCAAACCAAACATTATTACATTAGATTGTTGAGTTTTGTGAATGACAATATGCTTATTCGCATTTGATTTATTTTATTTAGTAAACTACAATTTTATTGTACACTGGTATTTTGTAAATAGTAATAAAAAACAAAAATTCATACTGAGCTTCACTTATTACACCTACTGTATATGTATGTTGTATGTATAGTTATAGTTACATATATGACATGTAGTCATGTTTAAATCAGATTATCGTAAAGTCTGATAGGCTGCTCGGTCACAGGAGATACTGGATGTTCAGTGATAGTGAATGAGGTAATTCAATAAGTCCTTCATGTTGACGTAGCTAAGGTGAAGTAAAGGGAGGTGAGAGAGTAGCCAGGATGTGACAGATGGCCTTCAGCGACAGGGAGTCGGTCAGCCTGCTGCATGTGAAGAGCTCGGACTGTCGGAACCCGAAAACTGGACGGTTGATGCTAACTTGTTGATGCGTACGGTCTGTTTTATTACGTCTCACAAGGTCGAAATCATTTTAAAGTTGGAAGAAATAGATTTTGATCAGATTCACTGCAGAATAAATGACATGGTTTCTTTCTTATGGGACCCAGGGTTTGCATTAGAACAGAACAGTGTTTTTGCCGACATTTTAGATCAAGACAGGTCTGTGTGTCTTTCAGTGTCAGTGACTTCCACATGAAAACACTCAGATCAACAGTTGACAGACCACTGGGTAGTGACAGCACCAAATTGATCTGTTGGTGTTTTCAATCAAGGGGGATGTTTGTTGACAAGTCTGACCATGGCAGTTTGTTTGTTTGTTTTTATCTAAAACCCATTTGTCAAAGATAACAGAATTAACATTAAACAAAGGCAAATAAAGAAATAACGAACGTAGCTGCAGACAAGCTGTAAAATGGTTTGGCGGCGAGCGCTCCTCTGCAGGAGCCCATATGGTCCATATGTTGATGTGTGAAGTCATGAGATAAAATGTTGACTCATCCACGTGAGATTTGGTTTCACAGATATATATGAAAATGATCTGCCAAAAAGAGCTCATGTTTTAATTAAGACTTAAATCGATGTTGTTGTTTTTTACCACAAGAGGGCCATACTTACTGTAAGTCAGTGGTTTTCAATTGTTTTCCAAATTTATGAGGCAATATCTTTCCTGATTTGATTTTATTGTAGTTATTCAGTACATTAGTACTCTTTACTGTGACAATATGACCTCCACATTTAAAAAAATTAAAACAACAGCCAACTTTTGGACATTTTCTACATACTATATATGCAAATTGAAACAGACAAAAACTCTGACTAAAATTCTTCAAAATAAGAGTGTGTTCTACATGTGGCTCCTGACCCGGTCTTTACTCACGTTTCTGGTGGGATCTTCATCTGTCCGTCAGTCATCAGGACCAGAGAACTGGAGAGGATAATCCACAACAGCATCATCAACACACTCCCTCTCTGCAGCCGACTTCTGTCCCATTTAATGGTATTCCCGGTGTTCCCTGGACTCCGGCGGTTCATCCCTGCAGCTGCTCACAGTTGCATCAGTCCAGTGGTTTCTGCATGCTGCCTCTGAAAGAAAGGGATGTAATGAGGACGAAGCAAATTGAGTTTTAGGTGCTCAGTCTACAGTGCAAACACAGATGGACGGGAGTTCATGAAACCTGGAACAAGTTAACACAGCTGCAGAAAGGAAGCAGAAGAAAGATGAAGGAACAACAAGTAGTGGAGCTAAATGTACAGTATTTCTTGATGTTCTGGGCATTTATTCAACTCAAGAACCAGGGCACGTGTTTCCCAACACTGTCTTTGATACTCTACCTCAGTGTTTCCCGACCTTTTTTGAGCCACGGTACAACACCAAACAAAAATCTAACAAAAAGTGTGTGTAATAAAATAAAATAATCTTCTAGTTTAAATGGCCTGTTTAGTTGAAGACAACGCTGATATACTGGCAGGAATTGAAGAAAGACACACACAAAGATCTTCTTCAAGAGCTCAGATTTTTTTCTTCTAGTTTTAATAGCCATCTGCTGCCACCTAGCAGAAGGGTATTTAATTGTCTGCCTGTCCTGCAGTGACAAACAAAGACAAAATATTTGCAATAAATAAATAATAGTTTTGGGACCAATTAAGTGACATTTGGTCCCAAAAGTGACTAATGCTCATGGGAGTAAGAAGCGAACAAGTAATGACCGTGAGTAAAAACTTTAGAAATGTCCGTGATCAACAGAATGTGTATTTGTACAGTACTCACTGTGTCATGTGGTCAAAACTTGGAAGTAATTCCTTTGAGGCATGTGAGAAATATAAAATTTTTCTTTGAGCGATTAAAAGTTGTCAGGTGATGAGTTGACGTCAGCTGAGCAGGTGATCGCTGAGTAGAAGGCAGTTGTCTTCAATGTCAAAGTTCACTTCTTCACACCAGGAGTCAAAACAAATTATCTCCATGCTCCTACACCTCCCTTTCTGCAACTCTTAATCCTACTCCGTGTCCTCCCATCATCCATCTCTCTCCTTCCCACCTTCAGCTGACACCTGGATTTATGGAAGACTCCGGGACTGTCCTGGTCAACTTCTGTCCTCGGTGTAGTGTGTAGTCCTTGTTAGTCCATGTGTTTCAACAAAGACAGGACCAAGAAAGAAACATTCTTGAAATACTTCCCGCTGAAATACAGATTTTGTCTCTCATCCAATCCACTGACCTCACGTCCTCCTGCTCCTGATGCCAAAACCACACAGCACCGGATGGAGAGTCAGATGGTTGGAGTGATGTACTGTACGCAGGGATAGTGGGACTTCCTCTCTCTTTCTAGCACATCTCCTCCTGCTCTCTGGCACCAGTTTATACCATAATCCAGGCAGGATTAAACCCCTCCTCACTCTCTTCTTCTTTCTCTCTCTCTCTCTCTCACATATCAACACAGACTCTATCGCTCTCTCCCGCTCCTCTTGCCCTTCTCACTCTTTTACTGCTCTTTGACCTGATGTCTCTCTTGACCCATCTTTCCTTTCCTCCTATCCTCCTCCGTCTCCCTCCCCTGCTCTGCACTTCACAGCTCTGCACTCATTCACATTAAGTCATAGAATCACTGACAGGTAGATAAGGAAGGAGACGACGGGTTGAAGTAAAGAGATTTAAAGCCTCACACACGCGCCTGTGCAGTCAACACTTCCAATAATAACTGTTTAAATTAATTTATATTTAAAATAAAAAACAGCTTGAAAGTAGAAATAAGATTTTAAAGGATAAAAAACATATTTTTATTAAATGTATGTTTAAAATCTTAACTTATTTTAAAAAAGGTTAAAATTAGATTTAAGTTATATTTCCAATTCAATTATAAAAAGTTATTGATTATCTCTCATTATTTTTCTTAAACAACTTTAGCTATTTCTGGGGAAGCCATATGTACATTTTGGCTATTTTAAATATTGAGTAATTTGTAATATTTTTTAACATAAAGCTATTTCTATATGGTTATGGTTGGGATAAGCTTATGTTAGTTACATTTTTGCCAATATTATTTACAATTTATACTTATTTCTGCTATTACAAACAGGATGATTTACAGTGTTAATTCTGTTTATAAATGCTTTAGTGTGAGTGGGTTGTTGTATGGGTGCACAATATGTAACCAAAATGCTATTTTAATGAGTTTATGACAGTCACAACATGAAGCTAAGACACAAATGGTCTGTCTGCTGCAGGGACCATTAAATCACATTTAACTACATATCACACACAGCACCACTAAAGGGAGAGAGAGGGAGTAAAACATCTGTTCATGCTGTTATAGAAATGTAAATGGAGTAAAACAATCTGGAGCACAAAGCCTCCGCGCTGCTGCGGATGAAGAAAGACTTCAGATTAATAACAGACGAAGAGTAGCAGAAACTCAGAGAAACACACTGCTGCCTGATGTACTGTGTACCATATCTACATCCATCCACACAACGACCACCAGCAGTGTGTAACAGCTGTATCTCCCCCAGCTCCTCCTCCCCCACTGACCCAGATCAGTGCTGATGGAGATGAACCCTCAGCCTCAGACCAGTCAAGTCACGTGGACTGGAAAACGCAGAGCAGCTCTTCACTGTAAATGTGAAATAATCTCCAAAAGTTTATTTACTATAACCAGCCAAATGGATACACTTCTCTTGACATGGTCACAATTATGGACAATTATGTGCAAAAAATATTTTATTTAAGTACTTTTAAAAAAATAAAAGCCGTAGTTTAGTTTGTACCATTGTGTTATAGTTGAAACAAATAAAATAATAAATTACTGCTAGGGATATGTTGATAATCTGTTAACAGTTTATGACATTTCATCTGTCCTTTCATTCTCAACATCTAATAGTGTTCACAGATTTTAATTTTGCTTCTGGATTTCCCCTGTAACACAATTCATTCTCAAATGAATTTACCTTGAGGCAAGTCTTACAAATCGTTTTATATGACCATTAATTATTTTTCTTTAAAACAAAGCATATTCGATATATTTTGGTTGATTAGAAATAAAATATATTGCTCTTGAATTTTGTTTTTAGCATAAAGCATACGAATCAAGTCTCGATGTCGCCATGGAGCGTCGTTAATCCCTCCGGAACACAAGGTAGCGCTAATGCGCCAGTTAAAAAAAAAAGACCCAAATAAAAACCGCGAACATTGTGGAAAAATTTCAATTTTCTTCGGCAAGAAGTCACCGGTGCAAACTCTGGAAAAGTAAGTTCTTCAAACGTGTAAATGCCCCTGTTCGAGGGAGTTAGGCGACAGTCCACTGATTTTAAATGTAACAGTTACAACTTTCCGTGAATATCTAGCTATGTTTGTGTGTTTGCATTACATCATGGGGAGCGTTTGCTGTCACCTGCTAGTGCTAATTGATGGCGACATTAAGCGTCAGTTCAGTATTTGTTCCTCTGCCGGAGCCCACAGCTTCCGGGCCCGCTACCAAGGCTCACGGTTTTAGTTTTCATCTTGCCATTGTGTCCAGAAAGTGTAATTAAAATGTATACATCTTGCCATTGTGTCCAGAAAGTGTAATTAAAATAAATACATCTTGCACCTTTGCTTAGTGGATTTGTTGTAATTTGTAATTGTTTTGATTTGCGTGGTTTGTGACTGATACTAAATATGTTCTGTCACAGGTTCACTGTCTATTTGCATGTGTTACATATTTAAAAGGTTCTATAAAAGTAAATAATCTCACGTTTCTTTAAATCTTTACTTACCTTGAGATACTTTACCTTTAAAAAAGTGCGAGGTATTGATTAAATATTGATTAATTGTTAATTATATAGTGGCGCTTTGGCCCAGAGGCAGTGTCTCTGTCATTGGTGTGGAACCTCAGTTCAGATCACGGTTAGGGCAGTTGGTACCTTCCAGTGGACTCACCACCCGCAGGAAGGTTTAAGGGGGTTGGTACAGAGCAATGTGATTTGGGTGGCGACTGCTGCCCCCGCGACCCGGTAATGGATAAGCGGATGAAAATGGATGGATGGAGGGATGTTAATTATATTTTTTTATTATATTTGATTGTATTTGAAAATAATTATCTGTTGTACTCTGCTAAGTATTTCCATTCTAAAAAAGCTAGTTAGTCCTTGTGTTTAAAGACCTATGAATTTATTTCGACAGCAGTTTTCCATCGTCTTTTGAATTTCGATGGTGCATTTAGTTTTCATCTCCCTCTTTGACTGTCTTGCTCTGGTTTATTTGTAATGTTGACATTCTACCTGTATCCTCTGTGCTTCTTCAGTTCAACACTGAATTTAAGAGAATCACCACTTCAATCCAAGTTCCTGTCTCAGCTGGACCTTCACTCAGATTATCTGACAAGGCTCTCCTACAGGAGAGGAGGAGGTGGTCAAAAGAATGACCACACATATCCCTAAAGTGAGCGATGCAGGGCTCCTACAGTTCAAGAAATGTTAAAAAAACCCATCTTTTTTTGGAATTAATTTAGATTTTTACCCTTCTACTATTAATGCATTAGTTGTATCAATGTTATGTTTCTGTATTTCCTCATCTTCTATCACCATGGAGTGCACAGCTAGGCTCACACAATGATAGGAAACTTTAGAAAAGAACTGCACCCTTGGACAGTTTATACCAATCAATGTTGTTAAATGAAGATGCTGTGTCTTTTCAGTGTGATGATGTACTGTAGATGCTGGACGAGTGTGCATCATTAAAGGGGTCTGCGTGTACATGGGCAAAGACCCAGATTACCTTCTACAGGTATATGTGGTAGGTATGCTCGACTTCCACTCTTCTCATTTTCTAATTTATGATTATTTGTGATATAAATTGAGTAAAACAATATGTATTATAATTTTCATTATATATTTTTTTTTACTGTTTCTTAAGTGGGGCCCTTGAGCAAGACATGCTTTTGTTATTCAAATATACTGTATATGTTGTATAAAAGAAGTGATGAGGTAGAAAAGCATGCGGTGTTCTTACCTGTAGATCTTTGAAGCAAAATAGTCTTGATGACATTAAAGAATTTTCTCAAAATTTAGAACAGTGCCAGGTCCGAACTCCAATCTGACAAAACCAAAAATGATGAGAACATTCTGAGGGTGGTGCTCTAATATTTCTGACAACTCCCAGACACAGAGAGCACAGTTATACTGTTGCAACAATAGTGGTCCAGACTGTCGACCCAACGACCCTGTACAAACGGACCGCCTACCAGGGTGTCTTACTCACACATACACACACAAAGCTATTGATTGTCCAAGCCAGAGCTAATAGTCAGCCTTTACTTTTAGCTCCATCAGCTAAACCAATGATCTGGAACCTTCAGGTTTTGTGAGTGTGTGGATGTTCAGCATGTTACATTACAGATCATCAATGACATTAGCCCAAAATTAGTCAAAATAATCCTAATGTAGGTTGCTGTTTACATAAAAATAAACTAACATTAAATTTGTTAAATTTTTTTATATACTATATATTTGGTCCATACAGACAATAAGGGGTTTTGATAATACATACTGGTAACAATGAACTTTTACTCAAGTGCCTAAATACTCTGTCATTGTTGCAAAGATTAGGTGCGTGCATGGAGCACGCAGTATGACAACAGCAGAAAAAGCCAAGCCATTTATTTCCTGGTCCGTTTTTAGGGTGAGCTCCTTGGTGCACTACCTGCCACTCTACTGATAAAATGTTTAATCTGATTAATCACAGGGTAGCAGTGTCTTAATCATGATTAATCATAATTAATTCTGACTGCAGAGAATCATGATTAATCATTAATCAAAAAAAATAATCTTCTAAAATGACAAATAGTATAATATTAAAGAGCAATATAATAACTATACTGCAGGAATGTTGATTATATTCCATAAAGCGTGCACATGGTTTCATGAAATACTAATTGTAAAAAATACTCTGCAGAATTTGAATGTCAATATGTAAGTTTTTTTATTTATTGTAAAATTAATATCGTTAACTGTTTTCATGTAGGAGAAGGTGTTAGAATGAAGCCTCTCTAGGGTAAACCATGTTTGAGCAGCGATCAGAGGCACATTTGCAATTGGAAAAACATAGATATACAAACAAAGAAATCATTCTGCTTCCAGGGTAGTTAAGGTCTTTAAATATGGCCTGCAGTGAAAAAAACCCCAAACCAATTAGCATTGGTTTTATGTTCACATAAACCCATGACCTGACATTAGAGTTTAATTGCACTGTCAATGTGATTTGTTTCATTAGTGGATTAAAAGCAGATAATTCAAAAAAGCACAAGAGACAACAGAGGCAATTTGACCACATTTAATATCCAATCAAAAATATATTCCTGTTTCTGTAAAAAGCAAACTGTCTTTGATAAAGAAATCAAAACAGTCGACACCAACACTTTAGACTGACATCTCATGGTTTACTACAAATTTGTAACTGTCAGTGAAGATGTAGTTTAACATGCTGCTGCTTTGCACCGTGGTGACAATGTACAATATTTATTCTTCAGTAGGAAAATAGGGAAAATGTTCTGTTTGTACCATTTGGTAGCTTCTGCACGTCAATACGAGGTTCAGAAGTAACCACCTGACCAGGCGAAGATTTCTTGAAACCTAAGACGACTGAGAACCTTCACAGACATAAACACCTACAGTTTCACAGAACTTTTTTTTGCATTTTTGTATTGCTTTAAAACCCCCCTAAAAAATATATTTGCTGTTGGTATTGTAGCACCACACAAGTTAGGTGTCGTAAAGGTTAAAGGTTAATAATCCTGTAAATTCCTGAATTATACATAATTGGCTAAGTATCCTATATAAACTGTCTGATTGCACAAGATAATCTGCAACGCAACTGTAAAAACACAGTTACACCTTTAAACTGGGTCTCTGTGAGGTAGTGCAGACTGATGCGCTCCTGTGATTCCTTTTTCTTTTACTAGGATTTTTTTTTGACATTTTAGACTGATGTGGAAATATATACAAAGTCAAAGCAGAGAAGAAATTGGTGTAAAAGTAAAGAAGAAGGCTGTTCCGGTCTTCCCCTCACACACACTAAGACTTTTGTGCTAACTAGCCATGCTAATTTCAATTAACTTTTGCAGACTAGTGCCGACATGGCCCAGCAGGAAATGATGGGTAAAATTAAAAAAAAAAAAAAAATCTTAGTGTGTCCTCAGCGTTAACCGTGGCTGTCATAAAGGTGTGTTTCCATTCTTCATACTCTGCTTTAGAAAACAGTGACACCAAATTCTTGACTACTCAAATACTAACATTAACTTTAAAGTCCGACAAATATTAGTGATTTGAACCGTTTACAACCCCAATGTATGATACTATTTCAACAAGGTCAACACACATCACATCTTTTACAGACTTCCTCCGGTAGAAAAGTTAATGTAACAAAAATAACCAATGGACATGTTTAACAAGCTCAAGTTTAAACATGTTCTTGTGCCTTATATGCTGTTTTATCTTCAAGTAGTTTGCTGGTTTGGGTTTGATGCTGGTGATACAGAAAATACTTAGAACTTAGAAACTCTAAAATAAAATCTAGAAAAATTAAAACAAAAAAAGACATCTGCTCCACTTGGTCAAGTCTCATTAAGGAGACGTCAGTTTGTCCAAGACAGAAATAAGACAGAGAGTGAAGTACAGCAAAGGCTTCATTTACCTCTGAATAAAACTTTCATTATAGTGGAGGAGTGACAAATCTAAGTGGTTATTCATTTTTTTAATAAAACAAATTCTTACTTGATTCCCATTTTTTTCAGAAGTTGTACTTTTTTTTTGTAAATGAAATCCAAAGAGATTCAAAGTTTGTCAGATTGTCTTTCTCAGAACACTAAATTTAAATCCAAAGAGATTCAAAGTTTGTCAGGATTGTCTTTCTCAGAAATTTAGAATTAGTAATTTTTTTTCGCTCAGAATTACAACTTTTAGAGCCAAATTATGACTAAATGTTGTGCCTGTTTAGATATGTTTATTTTAAAAGAGATCAACGTAAGAATTCAGACTTTTCTTCAGTTTTTTTAAATGACATTTAAGTTCCAATCTTTATCTACGTTATTGATTCTGACTCAAAGGTCAAAATTCTGATTTAAATCCTGGCTGCCTGAAACAAATTGAAACTTAGAAAATAAAAACATATGTAACTCATTATTTACAATATATAGGAACGTTTTTATTTTCCAAACCGACCGGCCTTAACGTGTTACTGATGAGAAACTGTGGATGTATGTGTGTTTAAGGAAGGGGGTTGTGTGGTTGTGTGTGTGTGTGTGTGTGTGTGTGAGAGAGAGAGAGAGAGAGAGAAAATAATCCTCACTTTTCTGAATGCGGTGTATATACTGAGGGTGTAAACTCATTGGTATTTGGCACCGGAGCTGGGAGTAAAGCAGCTGATGTAGGCTTTGTGGATGGTGTCCAGGAACGAGCTGTCAGTCTGAAATACACAAACACAAGCACAAGCACAAGCAAAGGTCAGTGTGTTGTACAATGTGTCTGTGTGTGCCAACAAACCATTTGTCACAGTGTTGTGTAACACTCATCTTCACCTGGATCAGATGCAGCAGCGTGGCCTGGAGTTGGGATCTGGACAGAATTTGGGCTTCCTCATGTTGAGGGGCAGTGGGCAGGAGTGGGGGGGCCGGGCAGTTCTCCTGGGCAACCACTGACAGACCACTGCTGGGCTTCGCTTGAGAGAACACACTGGGAGAAAGGAGCAGGGAGGGGGCAACAGTTGCCGGTATTCGCTGGGGAGAGATGACCTAAAAGACATGGAGAGGTGTTAGCACTCATTCACAGTAACACTCAAGAGTATGTTATTATTATATTTAACTTATACTTTCTATTATACCCCTTTCTCCGTTAGGATTTATGTGTGTAGTTGAGGTATGACAGACAATGTCATGTGCCACTACCATAAAGTATGTTATTCTGCTGATTATTTTTATAAACTCTGCTTTCCATTCTTTTTTCTACAGTTCATGTGTTAAAGAACAGAACGTACCTGAAACTGCAGGCCAGCCTTTTGATTTGCATTGGCTGGAATCTGATTTTGAGCTGGAGGTACAACTGAGCCAGGACTCTGGCTCTGAGCGGGAGCCAAGAATCGAGGGGGCAATCCCGGACAGAGTCG